GTTACGAGGTTGTGGCTAACCAAGATCTTGACGGACGCCCGATCCTGGAACGCACGCATGTCCATTCCCCATTCGACAGCTGGTATAAACTTGATCGTGATGGTTTGAAGAAGGAGAAGGCCTTTTTTTTTACGGGACATGACTCATTCTCTCCTGTGGTAAACAGTGGCTTCACTGACTTTCAGCCCTGGATAAATTGCATTCGCCAGCAGTTCCTGCAGGGGTTCGATGGGAAGAACCATCATAAGGTGTACAAGGACCGTGGACCCACGGGGTCCTTTGATGACGAAACTCTGCAGGCCTGTGTTTCTTACTCAGCCATCGTCGAGATCTGTAATGAATTCGCTGGTTCGGCTCTCATAGTACATAATGACCAGCTCAAAGAGGGTGCCTAGTACTAGATTGTAGTCCTCACACTTTCTTGTAGCCTTTATATTTTTCGTTGTCAAATAAATGTGCTCTCTTCTGAATTCGATCACTGGCAAGCTAGCTGAATTTCATTAGAAAATCAGATGGTCTAAAGAAGTGTTCCCTCCATGTACTACTATGAATCATTTTTCTCATAGTTGAACTCGATAAACATCCTGAACCAATCAGCGCCGTTAAGCTTCGGGCACGGCACGCTTCTAAAAGCTGTTCAAGCAACGGAATCACCGTCGTCCGTTCTAAGTTTGTATCACCCTGTCCTTAACGTGACCGCCAAAAGTTCAAGATATTACCACCATCATTCAAAATACATACGTCTGGTTCCCTGAGATATCTTGGAGGATTATCAAAAGCACCACTCATCCTGGGAGTGTCTACTTGACGGATATATCAAGGACTGGTAATCGCTGAGAAAATATGCCCATCCTGTGATCCATTCAAGGTGGATGCAAAGAAAAAGGTACCGGAACTAGCCGACACACTTGACTTGTTACTCTCATGTCGACTCGATCCTTGCCTCCTCCATGGGACAGCAATCTTTTTGTTGCAAAATATTTTTAGGTGGTACTAGATACCGGGGTGGTGTTTACCATCGCTCACTCCAGCCAAGTTGGAAGATCGTTCACATTAGGAAAGGCAAGTGCTGATTGTGCTTTTCTACTCTATTTCATTCTAAATCTAATTGCTGGTCAACAGACCTAGGCATTAGCAAAGGGATAGTCAGTATATCCCTCTGGGTGGTAGTCTGGGATGTAGAATGTCTCTCTATTGTACGGGCTGAGAGGTACGTCTTTCTGCAGTCTAAGTACCAGTCATGAATTTCAGGACAGACCGCAGTCGTGGATGCTCACATTCGAAACGAAATGCCTTCCAAATGCAATCAAGTCTCCCGTCTTGTCGGCAGCCTCCATGGCAGTCTGCCTATTGTACCCGCCCGCAGCGATGAGCGTCTTGGGTGCCCATATGTTCCGAATAAAGTCGTTCTCTTCGTCGGGGCCGACCGTCTCGCGATCGAAATTGCCAAAAATGCGGGGCTCCATGATGTGGAGGTAGGCAAGGTCGGGATGTTGGGACTTTGTCTGCGAGACGAGGTGCGCAAACGTCGGCTTTGACTCCTTCATGTTCATGTCTGACACCTATTCAGCTTTTCGCCTACTTGAATGAAAAAAAAAGCCATACCTTGGTAGCCACTCCATGGAGTGATCCTATATGCGGTCCGCTCTGCACCCACCGCCTTCACGACCGCGTCGATGACCTCCAGCGGGAACTTTACCCTGTTTTCGATACTCCCTCCGTACTCGTCCGTCCGAGTATTTGGCCCGTCGCGAGTAAACTGATCCAAGAGGTGTCCTTGCGCTCCGTTGATCTCGACGCCGTCAAAGCCAGCTTTCACAGCGTTCAACGCTGCCTGCGCATATAGCCCAGAGTATTCTTTGATCTCAGGCACTGTGAGCGGTCGTGGTGCGCGAGAACGACCCGTCAACGGGACGTCCGAAACAGAAACATATGGGAACCCTTCCCTGTCGAGGGTTTCAGGAAACCCTGATCGCCCTAGGGCCCACAGTTGGCAATATATGAAGCATCCTTTTTCGTGGACAGCATCCGTGATCTGATTAAATTTAAGTAATGGGAATAGAAGAGGCGAAACATGGATACGCGCCTGTTTCCATACTTCTATTTGCTCGTCACTCCATATACCGGGAGCATAGTCCCTCCCCCCAGCCTTAGCCGCAATGATCGTCGCTTCAGAGATGAGGAAGGTTCCTGGCGTGTGTGCTCGTTGAGCATAATAGTCCTTCGCGATTGGGAGGTGCGGCACGTTCGCCTGCGACGCTCTCATGCGCGTCATGGGTGCGAGGACGACCCTGTTTTGAAAGATCATTGTCCCGACCTTGGTCGGCTGGAATAGCTTAGAGGACATGGTGCAGGTCGATGGTAATTGAACGCGTTGGAGGACAGTCCTTTATGTGATGGTCGGTCATCCCCATATCCGAAAACCAACACATCTCTGATTGTTTATCTCAGTGCGCGATATCAATTTGCATGCTATTTACCCGAATATCCGTCTTCTATAAATAAAAGGCCTACCTACAGACCAAGTTGCGACGTGTCAGAATGGCAGTCGTCCTTACGCTGACAGAAATATTCCAAAGGATCAGTCATCACTAAATCCAAGGACCTATCAGTCGCTGTGACTCGGCGTGTGTGGGAACCGTGTGTTGATTCAATTTATTGCACATCTGTAAATATCTGGTCGCGCCTTGCATCTGACCACAATAGGCATTACGATTGTTTCATAGTGCAGTTTCCTGTTTTCCTTACCGTGCAGTGGAATGATGAGGATGAGGATCACAATTTCATTTGTCACAAGCTAAAATTGAACCAAATCACATCGTGTCTGCGGTTCGCAACGAACATACAATCAATATGCATGCCTATTTAGAGCCCAATGAAATCATCGTCTTTGCACTGCTCTACCTAACTTAGCCTCAATCGAGTGACTGGCTAGATACCAATGTGAATATACGCAATCCACTTGCGAATACCCAATTCCCTCGTCTCCACCCACATTCTCCTCCTCAGCTCCAAGATGCTGTCCTTTAGACTGTATGCAACATCTGTCCAGCCTCTGGACCTGGCACTCCTGTAGAATTCCCGACAAACGTCGGCAGCGAAATCGTCGTAAATGGGGTACATAGTCCCAACCACGCTTCGGAAACCACAAATCTCCATCGCTGAAGCAAGATTGACAACTTCACCGGACGTCGGATCCTGTGGACTTGCCGTATTACAAGCGGAATAAAACGCAAACTCTCCTTTAAACGAACGAGAACGCATGATCGCTGGTAGAGTGAGACTCTGCCCATTGAGGATGAAACATGATTGAAAAGGTCTTTCTGGATCAAAGGTGCCGTGACAACCGAATTGGACCCACGGATGTGAGGGCAGGTTCGCCAGCACAGCGTCAAGCGTCGCTTGCTCCCTGAAGAGGCAGGTGGCTCGGTCTCCAAACTCTTTCGCGATCATCTCTTTTTCGCTTTTCACGTGGGGCAGTCCTTCGACTGCTGGATTTCCTTCGCCGTCATCAGCAATGAACAAAATTTTGGGAGGCTCATCACGCCGTGCTAGGGTGCGCGACGCCTTTGCCATCGATAGCGTGCCAAGGGTCGAGATGTAGGAGACCGTGTATAAAGACGAGAGATCTGAAGGGTCGAATCCCTTGCTTTTATAAGGGTCAGCGGCGTGCAAGGGGAAGAGGCGCGCCAGACCAGTGGGTAATAACCATAATCGCGACCCAATTTGAACGCCCAGCTCGTTCAACTCCTTAGTAACAGGTTCGACGGCTTTCCTCCACAGCGCCTTCAAGACTTTCTGAAGCTTCCTGTCTGATTCGACTGTGTCGTCGAGTTTCACAAAGCTCTCAAGTGCACTAGCAAGCGATACGAAATACTGATACTCTTTCTCTCCTCCCAGCGAGACTCGGACGGGTGACTCTCGCACGCCGACAATGATGAGAGCGTCGCACCCATATTTACTGAAATTGAATATGACGATGGCCCCGCCGTTTGCTGCCTGTTTGAGATCGGCATAAGAGGGTAAAGGATCGATGCGTGATGTGGCAGGAACGTCTTCGCTCAGAAGCTGCGCAGACGCCTCTTCCCTTTCCTGCATAACATTACTGTGACTCTGAAGAAAATCTTCCCATACCAGCGGAGTCTTCAAGTCCATGGTCTCGCCAGGAACAAACGCCGAGGTCCACTTCCAGCCACTAGACAAGAACAGCCCGTGAATGTTGCGGTCTAGTTGCTTGCAGACAGCCTCAAAACGAATCACAGCCTCCGAGTCCACGTTTTCCAGATTATGAACCTTTTCTTCGACGTGCCGCAATGCATGGATGTGGGAAAGGGTAATATGCCTTCCGTATTCAAGGAATTCGACGGCCCGGGCGAGGTTCGAAGCGCTGGATCCCAATCCCATCATAGCGGCGGCGACATCAGCGGGAGATATAGGTTTAAGGATCCCAGCTATGGCGTATTTGATCTCGATTGCTGGGTTAAGGTTTATGCAGCCACGAAGAATGCGCAATAATACAGGATAGGCCAAAGCCACGGAACGATGCTTCATCTCCAAAGCCTGCGAAACCCAAATGGAAGCAATCGAGAGCTGGTCCATGATGTCACAGGTGGATGCAGACATGCTGGACGCCCGCTCGAACGATTCAAAGGCTTGGTTGATTTGTCCCTTGACCGTCACATCTTCATCTACACTGCTCTTCAGCTTCAAGACCCGCAAACGCATCATGGCTACTTCGCATATATCGAGAGGAAAAGAAGGGTATTGCCCATGGCTGAATTCCTGCGTGGTCTTCATGGCAGCTTCGCTGTACTGTAGGGAATCGACAAGGTGTTTGTGATCCTTTGTCTCGCTGTACCGCCACGTTGCGAGAGACGCTCTGTGTTTCAGCGCGGTCACCACTACCGCAGTGTCACCTCTCTCAAGCTCCTGCAAATTTGTATCGAGTTTCTGCAAGTGGGACTCCTGAAACAGGGAAAGGGTTTTCAGAATTTCAAGTAAGCACCAATTGTAAATGAGTAGAGACGACGGGCGATGTGCGTGTGGGAAGGGACGGTGCTTCAAAGCCTTCTCTATCCACATGATGGCTTTAGCAAGATCAGCGTCACCTTGGTGTGATCCCGACTTTGGCGAGAAGAAATAGGAAAAGGCATGTCCAAGCGCAAGGTTGTGGGCGATCAAGGGAAATGAAATGTGGCCTTCGTTACAAAAGCTGGCTTTTTCGAAGCAATCAACTGCCCCCGCAAGACTCGGCGGGCTCAGAGTCCTGAAGAAATATCTGAGTTTAGCGTGTCCGAGAGCTTGCAGAGAACGTGAAGTGTCAGAATTCTCCTGTTCGCACAATTGAAGCGTTTCCTGAAGATACGAAATCGCCTTCTTTAAGTATGCGATATCGCGCTCCAAGGAAATGTCGTATCGGTGGATGAGCAGATTCCCTCCATTGATAAGACAGATGGCACGAGTGCTGTTCAAGGTGGGATCATCTGAAGATAGAAGAGAGAGCGCTTGTTCATTCTTGTCGATAGCAGATTGCAGGTCCTCAAAGTTATGGGATGATTCGTATCTGCTTGCGAGTGCGCGGGCAGAGCATGTCAGGAACATCGCCATACGACCTGGGGCCGTACTCCCAATAGCGATAGCAAGATCGAAGTGCCCAATGGCAAGTTCGATATCGTCGCCGCTGATAGTAAGGCTCCGTCGATAATATCCGTTTCCTACATTGTGATGGATGACAGCTATATCCGGAACTGCTGGAGAACACCGCTCTACAGCATAAATTGCAGATTCGCCGAAATCGACAAGGCGATCTAGATCGGTACTGCGGTGGGAGTCAGATGCCTCTGAATGTCTGTACAGTGCCATAGTGTAGAGAGAGGCGAAGGACAAGTACAAAGGCGCCAAACCCCTTGTCAAACGTGCTGTGACCTGATTGTCGACGGCATCACAGTTTTCTATAAAGTTGGACCATTGGGATTCGTCCAACGTGGCATGCTTCAGGTCCCTAAGCGCTCCTTGAGCTACAGCAATGCCATAAATAAGAACATCAATATGAGCATCGTCGTCGACGAGTTCTTGTGAAGTGCTCGATGGGCCTGGGAGATTAAAAGAAGAGCTCCTCGACGCTGGCGAGTTTTCGCTGCTTTGTGATCTCTGAAGGAACATGAAAATCAGATTGTGGACGTGAATGATGTGACTGACCGTGAGGGGTACTTCTTGGACAGTATCGGGCGTATCAGTTCGATGAGGGGATTCTAATGTGAACTCCTCGTTCTCATCCCCCTCGTTTTCTTCTTCGTCCCCTTCTTCGTCCTCCATCAAAGCAAACTGTATATATGATAAGCGCGGTACTCAGTAACTGAGATTTGTCACCCACCCGAATAGATATTGCTTGCTCATCCGATATCGACATTAAACCGCTAAAGAGATTGGTTACTGCCGGCACATTCAGAACCCTGTTCGCCTGGATATGAAGTGTGAGATAATGGAGGACTACACGCGCATCGATAAACCAACATTTTGTTGCGTTTCGTCCCACTCATCCTCTGTCTATCAGGAAAACCGTGTTAGAAGCCGAGGTTTGACACAGAATAGCCAACTTACCATTCCTTGCGCGAGCAATTCTTGGCGAAGGCTCTCAGGATATTGTATATTCCACTGGAAGGGCCGTCCCGATGATCAAGTGTGTACAGACGCTTGCAGACGATTTACCTGAAACGTTGGCTGTTATATCATTGTCAGCGTCAACGGCCCTTACAAGGAAAGGGACTCTGCTCACCATGCCATCCTCACGAGTAGTCAATATTTCGTTAACGAAAGCAGCATTCTCTGTATGATCCTAATGTATATGGCTTTAGTTATCGCGAGCTTGCTGTCGACCGTGCACATCGTACCATGGTCGGAGTAAGAGAAATAGTTGCAGTTGAAACAATCCGCTGTATGTAAAACGCTCCGCGATGGCGATAACCGCTGCAATAGAACAAGCGCCCATCATCCCAAAAAAATTCTCTTCGTGTTGTGGTGGTGGTAGCGATCCGTGTTTGGTAACTTTGAGGCAGCAAAGCCAGTGTTACGAGTCACGGCCCGATACTTTTACCTGACGTTTTTCCCTCTTTCCCCGGTCTCCCCGGTTTAGCCCGTATTTGTTATTCCTACCATATATATATATAAGCCAGTACACGTATTGTAGCTGGAGGTTTTCGCAATCGACCAAGCCTTTATGCCTGTCAGCGACTGCGCGAGCCTTTCGTGAGAGAAGTGACTTTCGCCACCCTCTCAGCCAGGACCGGCAACTAATTTTAGACACCGGCATTCGGCTTCAACAACACTTCCTCAGTGAAAGAACATCACGATTATCATGTAGTACCGGTATCTACCGCACCATCTTTCTATTCCAGCTGCTGGCGATGAAATGGATTCCTGGTAACTCTCGCACTGAGCAAAGAAAGTGCATCGATCTCTTTTGGAAGATCAACCACGAATATCTGAATCCTAATGGTCTATCTATTACGGCCAGTGGCCTCGTTGCATGCAAATTCAGTGCCCTCTGATGCTGTATCTAGATAGGTGACTTTGGAACCCTTGACAAGAAAACCGGGAGTTTTCAACGCGAGGGGAACATATTCGAGCACCCCGATTCGAGGGACATTATGGCGGCCCACGACTGGAATGATCCTCGAAATACTACCACCATCGAACACATTTTCAAGCAAACCAAAAATGTCAGGCGAATTGACCTTCCCTTTGGGGTCGGAGCGTAGGTTCTTGCTCGATTCTTCTATCGTGTTCGAACTGAGAGCCTGTGACAGAGGATTAACTGGAATGGTAGACGGAAATGTGACTGCCAAATTTCAGCTTGATACGGAGCGCGGTGTTCTGCTGTACATGCACGGCGTCAAGTATTCTATTCTTCCCATCGTCGAGACGTGGGTGCGAAAGCTCGAAGAAATAGGCCTCTTCACGGCCAAGGGCATCGTCACGGAAACATATACTTGCAGCCATTATGACTTGCTCATGAACAACAAAGGTGAGCTCTGTGCACTGCATGATCATATTCCTAATGCCCTCCTATAGGGAAGCGGGATGTGGGTGTGACTGTCACCGCGAGTATTCCGATTCCCGTAGCACCAGCTATTAGTCCATCAGTAAATACTGGATTCAGCATATCAGGTGACAGTGTGTCTGGCTTGAGGTGGCAGGGAACAAAGAATGCGGAGTCCGACAGCTTCGTTCCTATGTACCGTTTGAAGGCCTTACGAGGTGGTTCAGTCGAACGGGGAGCACCGGCGGACAAAATCTTGGTTAAAGAGTGCGTGATTCTACTGTGAAGACTCGGACTTTCGACTTAACTATATTTCTTTTCCCAGCTTTCCTCGGCCATGGACAGAAATCGATGACGAAGGGCGAGATATAGTACGTTTCTCCATGAAGCTTGACGTTCTTATGATTTTGAGGCTTCCTGGCAGTTTGACTCCGACTCTGACGCCGATTCGGACTCGTAAGCATGAAGTAAAAGTTGTTGTATGGAATGATATCTTTGCTACATATCTTTCTACGTGAAACAAATAACCCATATGGTCCATGGTCGGTCTTGCGCTGCATGGCGCGAATGAAATACCGAGCAGACCTTCCGACAGAATATATTTCGAAAACGTTATGTAAATGAGGACGTATCCATCATCATGATCACGGGAAACTGAAACTGGTCTAATAGACCAATCTCAAGGCAATCGAGAATCTGTTCCCATGAACTACACCCTGTCTGGACTAGCGGCCATCAATAATTCATTCAGACGAGGCTAACATCGGTGGTGGAGACTAATTTCGAAGCATGCGATGGCAACATGCCTTCTAAAATTCAGCTCTGGAACAACTCTAAAAAGAAATCAATGTTCTTTCAGATCTCAGTTCTGCAAGTATGCTCTTTACGTATCTACTTCTTTTTTCAACCCGTGAATGTTTTCATTCCTAGGAGTGCCTCGTACCGGCCCAAGATGACAATGACGAAGATTCTGTGATTAGAATGTTTGCTTTGAATTCATTTGACACGTCGTACACCGATAATTGTTCCCTCAAACAGGAGTGAAGAAAGCTTGCAACAGTACACGGGAATCCTCATTTTGCTCTTATCACGAGGCCACAACCCGACATGGAGTGGATTCCCTGCTACATCAGTGGCGGGCCAGAAGCACAACTTGACAAAAAGAGTAGGATGTGTTACATGACATTGACATACACCTAGTCTCCAACAAGTTCTCATGGGCTCTGCGGCAATTCTTCGACAGTGCCTATATCTTAGACTTTTATCTTTGTACTCTGGTTACCAAAGTCTCGATAGTCTCTCTTTCTAAATTGACTTTCTAAGCGGCCTGTCTGAGGATATATGCGCCATTGGCGTATTATCTAAGACTGTCTACAGCAGAAGCTTCACAAAGGGGCCATCACAGCGGCCGGGAGGGACGTCGTCTCTCATCGTCTGAATGTAAACGCCAATCTGGTAGCGGCCATGACACCAATGATCACTATCAGTGAAAGCACGGAGGCATTCAGCTAGAAATACATATTATTCCTAGCCCTAGCTTTACGACAAAAATGCATACAAATATGATACACAGGGACCTAGCTACCAAATTTAAGAAAACGGACCATGAATCAACGCGTCCCACGCGCTCTTAGACTGCAACGTCTCGATAAACTTAGCCTTGTTTGGAGTACCCGTTCCAGGTGCCGGAGCATGTATAGCTGGCGAACCGGTACTTACAGGACTTGGTGGTGCAACTGGGGAATCTGGGCCGGGGCTACTGCGGGGCGACGGCTGAGATGACGAAGGGTACTCAGTCGCCGAGTCCTAAGTAGATAGCACTGTTAAACTTTAGCCAATAGCAGTGTGCGATACCCACCGATTGGCACAAACGCGAAGGCGTATGGGAGTGGGAGATAAGGTGCCCTTGCGGGGAAAGGAGATAGTTGCTCGTCGATTCGGATTGTGCTGGAGTCGAGTGAGGCGGTGGTGGCGGGTATGGCGAATGTGGCGGATGGGTCGTGTAGTACATATGTGCAGGGCTCGCTGTGCCAGACGTCGAGCGCGAGTTCGACCGGCGTTTCTACCATTAACTAACGTGAGAAAACGGTAATTGGGCGAAAGAAAAAGAAAGGCGCACAGGCGAGAGAATGCTTCCCAGAGCAAGTCTCAGTGCCTCTCTGTGCTGCATGTGAATGATTTTATTCGCCTGCTCGTTCTCGTGCTGGAAGCTATGGGCGTCGAGGCCCTCTGGCCCTCTCGGCAACGTATCAGAAGATCGAGCCTGGACCTGGGTGGGCTTGGCCGCGGAGGAAACAGGTAAACCAGTCAGTGTCGGGGGTGTCGTAAGTGAGCTCCAAGGTAGACTCACCATCGTCAAGAACGATGGGAACGAGGGGCGACAACGACGATAAAGATGACAATGAAGGCGACTGCCAGGAAGTGGCAGTGGTGGCAGTGGTGGTTGAAACCAGAAGGAAAGGTGCATCTGCATCGTCGTATACTTACTGAATCACCGGCAGCCGCTGCCGAGACACATGATCGAACCCCGCATATTACCAAATTGCCTCGATCAGCCAATCGCGGAAAAATGCGGGGGGAAATGAAATTATAAAATGTATAGCGAGAGAGTTCCAAAGGTAATAAAATATGGTAACAAGCATGGAAGAAAGTGAAAAGAGACGGAGACGTAGCACAAGGTCAACAAGCAAGCAAGCAAACATTTAACGGCATTGATCCGTCCAAACAAGAAGCCATGCTGCTGATGGCGACTTCGTTCAACCGATACCGACCATCACCCGTGAATTGGCAGGAGCAACTGGTCCCGGACCCGTTCTCAACCAACGTGGAACTGGATGAGAACGTTTCTGCACATCCGATCGGTTGATAGTGCCCGTTGAATATCAAACGAAGGAGATGCGAAAGTTTCGGTATAGGTGTGCCAGGGATCGAAGGTCCCCAGAACGAGGTTCCTTAACTGAAATAACTGGGCGGCAGGAATAGAAGAAACACTTCCATGTCTACCCCTTGCATTCCACAAGCTCTCTGGTAACAACAGTGGTAAATTTGAATCATGAATCTGTCATGGGCTTGATATTGCTGCTGTGTAAATGCCACCGTATTCCCAGCCTACCGATAATCGCTGGTAAACGGGATACACCTATGTGGAAAGTCATTCAGAGAAGGAACACACCTCAGCGAAAATGCAGATACGAATCGGAGAGATGCATATAAGAATATATTGGTTTGCCGTTTTCTGATATTTTCTTCTCGGTACATATCATTAACTGAAACGTTGATGCTCTGGAATCAGATCACGAGGCCATGAAGCAGCTCGACAAGTTGAGACATCTATCATCTTTTCGTCAGCAGTCCTTCGCGGGTAAGGGCAGGTTTTCTCACCACGACCCCTCGGGTTCACGTATGATGCACACATGGTTCCATCCTCACCCGCCTTACCTAAGTCCGATTTGGCACTTCATCGTTCGGCAAGCTCTCATGGCCTTGTTAAGGATATTCCGGGTGAAAATTTGACCGTCCAGGGAGGGTGACGATATTAACGCGAAATCGAGGAATAGCATCAGAAATTGAGAGCCACTCAAATGATTCTATAGGACATTTCAAGTTCAAGAAAAAAAATGGCGACCTGGACCGTTTTAAGCGGCGCCCATATTTGGCCTTCGGCTATCGCCGACATCCGGATCGCCACCCGTCTACCCGTTTCCCTTCTCTCATGACAAGCCATTCCGAAAAGTCTCTGTTAACACCTGCACAAGCGTTCTCTTTACCCACGAATAATATACGCTCTTCTCAAGGCTCAAAGAACCTTTTCCCGCTAAATTCCCAAGTATTCCCTAGCATATGCCCTGGCCGTACTCAAGCGAAGTGAGTAGCCAATTTGAAGGTAGGTTACATCTTGGGCAAACGTGATATGGGGGCTAACTACGAAATACACCAGATTATATGCTGCGAAATCCCCTCGGAAATGAACAAACACCTAAGTAGATCTATATGAGAACCCAAACGGCAATTAACTGTCAGTGCCATGAAAAGTTCGAAACCTCACACAGCCCCTCCGACCCGCCATGCCATCAAAAGTCGTGTATGTTAAAACGACCGACCGGCTTGCTTACGCAACTCAATCCTCGCAATGCAGGAAGGTAAAGGTGTGGGCTTGCGACACTAATAGTCCCGGAGGTGCCTCCAGTACTAAGTCGCCGAAAAATCAACGTGAATCCCAGCCTTTATTGATCGTAATGTACTTTCTCTCATTAACAATGTTTTTTTCTACCAGTTTCTGCCTAGTTCACTTGAGCCCGACCTCCATTCTTTGTTCAATGAGTGAACGTCGTCACGGCTCCCGCTCTTCGACGCGGAAAAACTTGGCAAGACCAGGGTTTGAGCGGTCATTACGATCAGATGGAGAAAATCATCGCTGCGCTCCCGCCTGCTCGCATATTCGAGCTCGTTTCTGTCCCCATATTATGATTTAAAGAAAATTCCCGCTCATTCCTGGAGGTGGATTTGCAATTGTCCGCCTTCTCATTGGCTAGAAACCTGATTGACCATCACTAACAAGTTTCAGCCCCCATGCGGTATGTCTTCACCCTGCTTACGATGGAGAATTCTTCGCACTGAGCCTGTCTGGCCAAGATTTTTCAAGGCCGAAAGCACGCACTGGAATGTTCTTTGTTGTTTTCTCGCAGCAAGCTCCGTTGGCTTATTTAAACGCGTAAATTCCTCTCAATAGTTTTCTCATCCCGTCGTCCTCCCCCTCGCGAACATGAAGGTCACCATTCTCACTGTCCTCGCTTCTGCCTTGCTCTCCGTCGCTCACGCGCCTCAGAAGCGTTCCGAGGAGGAGTTGGCTAGCCGCGACCTCGCTTCGGCCAAGTGTGCACGCCATGTCGGCGAGATGCAACGGCGACGGATCGAAAAACGCGCCGAGGCTTTGACCAAACGGAGCGGTTCGTACTCATCCGTCACGATCACGACTGAATCTCCCTACTACCCTACCATTCAAAATGATACTTGCATCCTCACCCCGGAGGTAACTACTGGTCCATACATTTGGACTAAATCCCAGACCTTGCGTCAGGATATGACCGAGGGCCAGGCTGGCATTCCCTTGATCTTGGTTCGTCCGACAGTCGAGATCTTACGCGTACCGCTGGCTAATCTGTGCTTAGGATGTTGGCGTCATCGACATCAATACCTGCGAGCCTATGCGCAATGTGCTCGTCGATCTTTGGCACTGTAACGCTACCGGATCGTATTCCTCCTTCATCGGACGTGACCCCAACACACCCTTCGAACAGCTGTTACAGGAGCTTAACGTTACCATTGATGATAATTTCGATATTCACACTGATAATACCACCTTTCTCCGAGGGATGTGGCCCACCGATGCCAATGGTGTGATGGAGATGAAGACGATTGTCCCTGGATTCTATGTCGACAGAACTGTGCATATACGTACGCCTCCTTTTCCTTCCTTACTACCGCCTCATGTAAGTTGATAATTCTATTTTCTCCAGACGCTCAAGTATATAAATTTTGTTTTTCCAATATAGAAATGCAGTCTAACGATGCGCCTTCCTCTCTTCTAGGTACACCAGAATTGGGTCCTTAAGCCCAACGGGACCGTCTTGACTGGTACTACAGCTAACACGGGTCAATTCTTCATTGCAGATGATATCACGGAGTATTTGATGTCGTACGAGCCATATGTGTCGCACACAGAGATCGAGAGGACCACCAACGCCATCGATTCCATCTACTCCCAGGAGACTGTCAATGGGTGGTCTCCCGAGTTGGCGGTCATCCCTATGGATGGAGAGGATTACGCAAACGGTATCATTGGGTACATCACTATGGGTGTCGACTCAACTTGGTGGAATGTCTCTTCTTTCTAGATGTGGCACGGGATTTAGCATCGATCCACCTTTTTACGGGTTGACATTGAGGCTACGAGTACAGAGCAGTAATGAGAATAAACTGGCATAAGCAACGCTATTATTCCTTCGTAGCTCGGTCGGAGCAGCCCTTCATGTTCTTCGCGTCGACTGTCTCTTTCTAAGGCGGATCAACCTCAGATTCCATTTAGTGAAAATAAATCCTCACCTTCAAATTCTCGTCATCAAAGTCTTCAACTGCCTCTCATTGTTTGAAAAGCTCGAGACTCTTGATAGTATTGCTTCGCTTTGGCCCATTATTTCTGAGAACGGTAGAGGTCCCCGAACCATTAGCGTGTAAAATTCCCTTGTCGTTTCTTTGATGATGCTTCCCATCTCCCCTAGAATGGAAGGTGCAGACTCATAACTTTACTTCTGACCGAGGAGAATCTTTTCTGCTTCGGTGAATTCTCCTGCCTTGATGTGTCCGTGGACCTTCTGAATTATCGTCTCCCCACCTGAGGGAGACCTGAGGAGAAGCTGCCGAAAAAAGTAAACATAGAAGTCAGTGTTTGAGAGAGGAATGCAAATATAGGAGGACTGGGTCTAAAGGGAGACATGGATGAGTTTCAGGGGCCCAAGGATAAAGAATCAAAGATTAAGTACGAATTCAAAATACCTCACCTGTTTACGCTGGAGAACCCGGTAGAGATCCGGAGATAATCGTCCTGGATCCTGATAGTTCATTATTTAGTCATTACTTGGTCATAGTAAGCATTCAATGGCACTCCAAGGCGTTCTGCAGGGTCGCCAGGTTTGTATTCGCGTCTTGTTTCAACTACAAAGAAATCGCACCTCAGTGGTCCTCGTGACTTCTCAGCGTGAAATATCGGCATCTGGTTCGCTCAAAACTCGAATAACTGCGGATAAAACCTATATATTTTACTTTATATGTATATGGCCGCAATACATAGTATTATCCGGGTGCTTGACTAGAAGTCCTGTGGTCATAATAGTCTTAAGCCTCTTTGCCTTCAGAAACAATATCTAGAGTAGCAATTTTCTCCGACCCCTCCGCGAAATATTTCTCGTATGTTTTCGGAAGGCAAGTGAAGAACCAACGTTCCACGGCTACTTTTTCCCGCGCATTCCAAAACTTCGGATTCACAATACTGATAGTCAGATACTTCAGCGACAGGTTCCTGCCGCAGAGAGCGCCATCAAGATTGCGCCAATCATGCATTGACACGTCTGGGAGTTCATTGACGTTGACGCGGTCAGTGTAATTAAAGGTGATCATCAAATGCAACTCCTTGAGTGGAGAGCGGAAACGAGCGACCCTCAAAGACTTGGCCCACCACTGGAACTCGGGTACGGGGTTCCAGTCCTCACAGACACCGACGCGCAATTCGACAGCTTCGAAAGTATCAAATCTCAGTGGAGGAAATTCACTGCTGTCTGGAAGAAAGGGATGAGCATCATGGACCCTTGTGTACCGAACGGCTTACCTTGTTCGGTGAAAAAATCCATGTCGGGGTCACCGAGATGTATCCTTTGCGCGGATTTCACGGCATTGCAGTCTAGAAACCGCTGGAAACGGTATACATGTTTACCGAGGGCGTACTCGCTACTGAAACTAACATTAACCAAGGAATTCTGGAGGATGATAGGATACCGCGAGGTCGCGATCAAGTCCATAACCACCGCATCGGATGTTGTGATTATGTCCAACCGTAGGTCCTGTACAGGGCGTTTCAAAGCCGACCGCGGCTGAGGAAGACCGCATATGGGGGAAGAAAAGTCTATCCCATCTTCACCATCCGGTGAAGATTCGTATTCTACAATGATGAGCTGCGCAAGTCTGAGATAGGTCAAACGAGGAGAGCTGAGGAAGATGGAGAATTCGTGGAATGTCAGCTGAACGTCCCTGATCTCGAGACTGGTGATACTTCCCATTGACGGGGCAGCGAACACGTCGATGAAGGGTTTTCCCTCCACATTGCAACCTGTCAATGATAACGTGCGGAGATTCTGCATATGGGAGATGATTGTACCGAGGAGGGGTGAGTCAAGCAGTGTGCTTCGACCAAAATCGCTGAAAATGTTTAACGTTTTGGGAATCTCTGCCAGCAAGGTAGGATTTGCAGCATAACTCTGGCTCAACCGAGCGATCGTATCCGTCTCTTCGATACTGAGGTCGATTGTTTCGTAGATATGTTTCCTGGCATGTGGTAGCATAACATGGGATACTTGGGCGATGGCGCAGAGGATAGAATAGGCATTGTGCTTCTCTGCGACGGCATCGACAATTTTGTAGAGAATCTCTGCTGGGAAACTCAGATTGTCGCCGTTCATATATGCAACGAGCTGAGAAGGACGGGGGTGAAGAGCCATCATCAAGAAAAGGCTTCTCTTATAGAGACCGCAAAGGACAGAACAACCATTGTTCACCACATTAGGACCAACGACAAGGATCCGATTACCTTGGTCACACGAAGGGGACGCCTAAAGTAACCAAGCGCCTTTGTATTCCTTTCGGGATCCATACGAAGCTGCAGCCTAGATCGTAAGGGGTAGAGACCAATCAACCAAAGAAAACTGGACGAAGCCGGGAAGGAGATAAGGCGCTGGCCTTGGGCTAGGTAGACAATAAGGTCACATTTGCATGACTATCATGTGATGCTTGCGTGATAGTGACACTGACACAAGATCTGCTGCTTGCTCGAGGAATAGGACATGACTGGCTACGACGAGGGCCTTAAAACCGCCCTCAATCTGATTGTGACATGTGAAACGGCTATGTAGTAATACAAGAGAGAGGTGGGAGGGTGACAGAAAACTCACTAGCGACTTGTACACATGATGGTGCAGTAATATTACATGGGATTTGGTTAGATGTGGTGAGGCCAGAAACTGTTTGAATGAGCCTTTGTATGAGAAAAGAGGCAGAGCCTCAATGCCTAGGATTAGCAGTTAGGGTTGAATGATCTCACCTGGGGATGCAGGATGAAGATGAAAATAAAGATGATCCACCGACGCCGATGTCTCTCATGAATCAGCCTCGGCCGAAGATCAGCGCTGGGACAGAGATGGCACCGGCGGCCCATCTTCGTGGACGAAGCGGAGCTCCGTATCGACAGAAATTGTGGGTGTCTCGAGATTCGCCCAGAGGTCTACGAAAACGCTCCTTACCCTTGGAATCCGCCTTTCCCATGTCCTCGCCACGCAAGCTTTCAATTTTCTTCCGGTTCGTAAGTCTTACGCGCAGATTATTAGATATGTTCAGTGCTCACCGTCACTCAGAACCCATGGCCCCTCATACACTATATTGTATCTCTTGTCTTTGCCTCTCTACAAGATCTCGGGTTTGATCCGACCGTCAGACGCGTTGCCGTACCTGTGCAAGAACCTTCCGGGGATAATACCCAATATGCGATCCAGTACGATTACCTCGTCGGCGGGCAAGGTCTATCGACGATCCAGAGGATAAGTATTATGCTCTGAAGGACGTCTGGATACCCTATGACGCCATGACCGAGGGCGAAATTCAACAATCACTTTTCGAAAATATCCAGGACACACAAACAGACAAGGAGGACTTCAAACAGTACTTTATCGAGATTGGACACGGTCGATAATACCAGCTCTTTCATGAGGAAGCCACTTCCTGGCCATTTCCGAACGTTCTTATTCAGCCCCGGTGCATCTCCAGATCCTTCTGATGAAGAGGTAACGGGCTCCACTATTGCGACACCGGAGGGTCTGCCTAATGGAAGACCTGCAAAGGCAGGAGCGGGTCCAGGGTGTCTATATGATGACAAGAAACACTGTCGGATCGTGTGCAAGGAAGTAGGCACCCTGGCATCGTACTACGGGCACTGGTAGTGACACAAGAGGTACGGCCCTGTCCCTGGTTGCCTTTGATGCCGCATTTATACTCAAGGACCCCGCCAAGGCTCGAGTGGATATACAAGGGTGGGTGGGTGCACCGGGATCTCAGCGGTGGGAATCTAATTTGGATAGGGGGTTCGAACATTACCAAAATAACGGATATGGAATACGCAAAAAAATATCTTCCTGATCAAGGCCTTGGGGATAGGAAAACAGCAGGTTGATGGTTTGTCTGACATCAATAGCAGTATTGCCATGTTTATGCCGGTTGAAATTCAAACACAAGGTTATTTGTTTCTTCCACAGAAGCAGCGTATCCTTAACCCGCATACAGATCATAATCTCATATTTGGTGAGCCTGAGGCCGAAAGCACGACGGACTCTGTCGAAGGAACAGAGGATAATTCTTCCGCACTCGAAGACCAGACCCCTTCTGCCCACACAAGCCCACAACTTCCTCCATGACCTAGAGTTCATTTGGTGGATTGGGGAGCATGCGCTTTTCTCTTCTGTCCCCGCCTCCGGAAAGGTTGCCCATCTACGCCTTCAGATTTCGAGTTACAAGAACATCTTCTCACACTCCCCTGGGTGGGTCTGACATCCGTACTTTGTTTCTATCGACCGATTATATGCATGCTCCACATCTCGCAAATCTTCCGAGGGAGTACAATGATGAAGCGAGCGCCTTGCCGTACGCCAGAGATTTTCTTGAAGACCAGTGCCTGCGCTTGGAAGCAAACCCGAGCGTTCCTCATGTTGAGCGCTCAGATTTCGCACCAATATACCACCTCCAATCCCACTTCGCAGTCGCCCATGATACCATCTATAAAGGCAAAACGATACATCTGATATTGCATGATGATTATCCCCGTTTACCATCAGAGGATGTCCCGCAGTTTGTCGATGATATCTCAGATGTCGCGATGTTGACCTGTAGCGTCCTCGGTCAAGAAGCGTAGATCGAGGTTTCCACTGTCCTGAGCAGTCAGGATCCGCCTCCGCCGTCTCGAGGTGGTTACGGATCTAAACGATGTATACGAAGCTAACAAGGCTCGACGTTGTTCTCTATCTCAGACTGCCCACACTGAGAGACTAGAAGTAAAATTCCGAACCCACGATGTGCCTAACGGAGACGGAACGCAGCCGACTGTTTCCTAGCGTCGTGTCATAGGTGATATTCAGATTGGGTTTCATTTCGCTACAAAAGTACTTTTTATTCTTCATCCTCATGTAGACAACGTATTTCTAACTCATACCCCTGGGCCTCTAAATCAAATCATGTCTGGCGGAGCCCTTACCCGTCGGCGTGCAATCTGATGCTTCTCACCTTTTTCGTTGTTAAAAAAGACCCGCAGAGTGTATAAAATAATCTCGACTCACCCTCCACCAGCTCAGTCCATTCCATGCTTTCATTATTCATGCTTCGTCACTTCGTGGTTTCATGGTTATACGGCTACCACCTTGGCATTGCCTTGCCCCTCTCATACTCGCGTGCCTGTCTCCCTGATGAGATAAGCGGTATGAATCTCCAGCGCCAGCAGGGAACCCTCGGAAACAGGCCAGGGTCATTATCGTTTTCTGCATGCCCATAGAAGCAATGTAATGTAACAAGAAAAACCAAGGAGGAGAACAATACTCCCTTACCTGGCAACCGAAGATACCGACGACTACGCTGTGAATCTGCAGTACGTGATATTTGCACCACGGTTATTGTCGGTCTGATATTATATAAGAACGAACCTCGCATTTTGTGCATTGCGACAGCAAATGATTAGGCCGGTCCCGAATGATCTACAGAGGTTATGATCGCAGTTTTTCATACTGCGTCTCGCCCCTTTAGGCTTCCTACTCTTTGTATCTTCGGGATGATACATCAGGATAGTGGATACATCGCGATGGCAATATTACGGATACACAGTTCGTCGTTAATTATGTGTTCGAGCTTTTTCCTTTCGTTGCCTTCCGGTACCGTGTCATCCTGCTACTGATTGGGACCTTGTGCTGGTAACAACTTGAAGGAAGCCTACTTACAACCATCTGGGAATACCTATGCTCAGTTCTCGCTTTCGTGTCTTTTTGATATGGTCAGTCAGAAAACTAGCACCGGATGCTGGAGCAAGGGCAGAGGCGAGTTGGGCAAGCTTGGAGTAAGCTGGCCCGGAGATTCGTTACTGCACCTCCTTCAATTCCTTCTGTAAGGCGACATCAAGCCATCATCGCCACTCGTAAGATAAATAAAGCTCATGTGTTAGGCGCCACCTACTTCGGACCCGATGACCTAGGCATGCTGCGTAAGTCATCCATATTAAAGAGCCTATCCTTGTTGCAATGGTGTCCACACCTATGGATCAATCCCTCTACAAAGACTTCATCACCTCTCGAGGTTTTACTTACCACTACCTGTTCTCGGCGGGGGATGCCTCTAAGCCTGTCTTGCTCTTCCTTCATGGCTTCCCAAGCACCTCATACGACTGGAAGCATCAGGTAGCCTTCTTCAAAGAGAATGGCTACCCGCTCATCGTCCCAGACATGCTGGGATATGGAGGAACGTCCAAACCTGTCGATCCTATGCAGTACAGGCACAGATTGCTGGCCCAGGATATCCTCGAGATCCTGGATGCGGAGAAGATCATGCGTGTCATCGCTATTGGGCATGATTGGTACACGCTTGTCCATCATCCCATTGATCTCCACTGGTCTATTTACACAGAAATTTATCTAGGGGTTGCGTTGTAACCAGCCGTCTAGCGGATTATTATCCCGATCGATGCTTGGCATACGGGTTTCTAGCTGCTGGGTACTACCCAGCTAACCATCCCTTGTCATATGAAGCAGCGATGCAGCTGGTACGCTGCGTTCGATGATCTAATTTTTTTTCTAACTGATTGGACGATAGATGAAGTCAATGATCGGCACCGAGTTGATTGGGTACTGGGATTTCTTTGCTGAAGACGGCGCGGACGTAAAGATTGACAAGAACCTTGAGTCAATGTATAGCCTTCTGTACTGTGCGGATCACGATCTCTGGAAGGACTATATGCAGCCTATTGGAGGGCTAAGGTCATGGGTAGAGAGCAACCGGACGACTGCGGTTGGTCTGTACTTGACCGAAGAGGTAGGCCTATTTCACTGCATCGAGTGCGAACAAGTGTTGACCATTCGATACAGGATCAGCGTATCCAGAAGGGGGAACTACGCAAGGGTGGTATCGCAGGTCCGCTCTGTTACTATAAGGTCGTGCGCACTAGCATCATGGCAGATGACTCCAAAGGTGAACAAATCAGAGTTCCTCCTTGGTCCTCTGTGCTTACTTATTTTTGAAGCAAATCCTCCCAAGATCATGAAAGTGACCAAGCCTGTTTTCTTTGGTGGGGCTTCGAAGGACTATGTCTGCTTTTCCAGCATGAACCTGGCGGGCACAAAAAACAATTGCGAGGATACGACTGCCCATGTCTACGATGCAGGTCATTGGGTGCAGATAGAGGCCAAAGATGAGGTAAATCGGGATATGTTGGCATGGATTCAGGCTGTCGAGATCAAGACGGCGTAAAGGGGTGACACAAAGAAGTTAAGAAATGAAGGGTTGTACTAATTAGTAGTGGAGTTTACTTTGTGATACACTCTCGCTTCCATGTCTACGATCAGCAGCTGTAACTATACGTAAATTACCACTGTTTGAAGTCATCCATGTGCTCTCGTAGTCATCGCTGTCATCGCTGTCATCGCTGTCGCTATTCTCTTCGTCAAAAGTGATATCTTCATTCAAGATCGGGCTACCGTTTACCATCCATCTTTCCGATCGCTTCGCAACGTCCTCAATGCGACTCTGAATCTTGCTTACCACTTCCCGTGACGTCCACTCTATAACCCAAGGGTCACAATTCGCTTGAACCCACTGCCAAAGCCATGTCGGTGAAGCCGTCTTCATAATCGATCCGGTTTGTTCGCAAACGCTCATGGCCAAGCCGTTGCTAGGATCTTCAAGCCCTTGTCTTCATAAACGACTGTGTTTTGCTGTTCGCTGGCAATGCAAGCAACATCGACTATTCTATAGTGCGCGTAAACATACAAAAATGCGGTCTGTAGAAGGCGACTTGGCGATGTGAATCTCTGTGAACAGGGACCATATTTTCTCCGTCGCTATTCATCCAATGCGTGGAAAGTACTCGGTCAACACTGATTTGGTCAATAATACAATTTAGTTGGTGGACAAGGTCGATACCGTATCCCTCCTGGGACAAAGTCATCAGCAACATTAACATTAAAAGCCTGAGAACGTACCTCTAACCGACGAGGGAAATAATTAATGTCTTCTGTGGTCTGTCGAGTCTGGAAGTAGCCTACGAATACCGCGCCGCCGCCATGGATAATATTGGTAATTTGCCGATACATATCCTCTATATCTTCCTTCCGGAGGATAACAGACTTCTGGTGTTGGACAGCAGGCGGCATGAAGACTTGAAAACTGGTTTCGAAGGTCTGCATGTCAGTCTGGTATGCTCGGGACGATGGCATGTTGAAACGAAGGTGACCAAGTACACCCGAGATGATTTTTCACGCACAAAGATACGAACCTGTTTATGGATGTGCCTTTGTTACTTGTTGAGCACGGCAGCGTTGTCAGAGTTAGCGGAGGAAGCGAGGATAAAGCATCAGCTGTTCGTTATTCATGATCGATTGTAAGAGACACTGTACAACCGAATAGCTAAGAATCACTTCGCCTTTGAGTTTTACTTCCAGAAAAGCTCAGTTAAGCATTAAAGGATGGAGTTTACGAGCAGCGCTGCGCCAATAGATACCTAGATGGCGTCAGACAATAACGAAATATTTCGATGAGCACTTACGGCAACGCGCGCAGTAAAACTGAAATTTGCCCCGGCCGGAGTGAGATTCAGGGTCCTGACAGTGCGAGTAGAGCCAGGGTCTCTTGAAAGAAATGCCGAAACTGAGGTCGAAGACAAAAAGAAAAGACAAATTTGCCTATTGATTGATTCTCCATCTTTCTGCCCCTCATCTTGAATCGCTTGGAAGTTCGGCTGCAGAAAGGTATAGGGATGTAAGACTGAGTTAACAGACGAGACCCACGATCCCCATTGAGAGAGTCTAGCACCGCAGTATATAACGAGGATGGCTTGCCAGGTCTCGTTTAAGGATCAACGTTCTGAAACAAATGGCGACGGATTCAACGGAAGACGCTGAAATGAAATTGTGCCACACACCAGGCGAATTCCAGGAATCCTGTCTTTGCTACCAAATTTCGCTTAGCAAAGATATCCGAATACTCGTCCTCTGGACATCGTGTATGATGCGCGCGCCGATATTCATCCACAATCCGACGCTTAGGAGACGGCCCAACTTTTGCGCACCAGCTCGGAGGATGTTCGGGCTGAGGCGGAGGCAGTCTGGGATCCCACTGACCAGAAAGCTTGCCTGTCCACCTATCTCTTCTAACGTTTAGCCGGTCCAACCTCCAGTTGAACACTTCAGCCATTTGTTCTGCAATGCATGCTGCGAACGCGTAGCGCATTGCGTTGTTTCCGAACCATGGCCGCGGATCTGGGATATCCTTGACGAGCCACTCTCCCCCGTAGATCCAGTGGCATGGACGAAGGACACCACGTACACCGCGTCGCCAGAAGTACTGAATCTCATTTCCTACGGTGACCCAGTCGCCTTTCTTCCTGATGTCTTCGGCTGCTAAGACAAGACGTATAAAGGAAGCAATGGGCGTGTCGTCCCGTTCCTTGATAAAACATGTGTGTGTATCACGCAGCTGCGCTAGACGGACCGGGTCGCTGGTCACCAACATCGGACAGAATGCAAGACAGAATCGATTTCGAAGACACATCTGCGGCTGTGAGAGGGGTCGATAGCCACTGAATGGTACCCACGACAAGACCCATGTCCGCAGATATTCGCGCCTCCACGCACTGTCTGCCCACTCATAATCAAGGACAGCTTGACGGCCGGGTGGAAGAAAGTGATAGAGAAAACAGCGTTCGAAGAATATTTGGATAAATCCAACATAGAGAAGGAAGACGTAGAGCTGATGCTTGAGGAACGAGTAGATTTCTAGGAACTGGATGCGCGACATGGCAATAGGAAGAAATGGCAGCGAGGGGGACTCGGCGGTTCCCGAGCCCAACTTAACCGCATATACCGACCTCGTTCGCTGTGTCCAACGATGTGCACGTCAGCGACGGAGAACTAGAGGGAATAGCCTTCTATATCGAACATATGGGGCATTTTTTAGCCTCGGAGGAGAGGATAGTGCTGCTCAACCCTCTTTTCCTTTGTGCACACAAGGCTGGAAGGCCCTATACGTGACGCCTTGCACGTATCTGGAAATCTCGGAGAAAGGTGATGAGCGACGAGTGTTGTTGATGGGAAACTGTGATGTCGTTGAGTATCCCTCCAATGCCGTCGTAAGGTACTGACTATGTCCACAGGCCAACGTTCGAGAACCTCTTTGCCTTGGTCATCGGAATCGACAGCTACGCTGAGTGTAGAACCCTCACTGCTTCAGTTCTGGACGCCAAAGCCATCGTCGCCTTTTTGAAGAGCATCGGTGTCCCCGACCGGAACATCATCAGGCTCTATGATCAAGGTGCTACGTTCGACGGCATTCTGAAAGGGTTTGAAGCCCTCGTCACCCGTGCAGACATCAAGAAGGGCCATTCCTCCATTTTCATTTATTTTTCTGGACACGGCGCGTCGGATTACAAGTCTGCTCTTCCAAAAAGTCAAGAGCGTTATTGGTCAGGATGGGATGAAAACGTTATTGAGCAGATATGCCCTCAAGATATCGGCCAAATGCCCGGTATTCCAGATCGCATGATGGCTGCCTGGCTTAACAAGCTCGCAAAGGATAAAAGCGATAATATCGTTCGTTCATTGTCGTATCTATACAATTCTAGCTAACTAACAGTCTACAGATCCTGATGCTGGATTCTTGCTACGCTGCTGGGATGACTCGAGCAGATGACGGCGGACAAAGCGATGACATCGACGAGTTTGAAACACGTACCATCGTCGACCCTCCCCCGCTCTCTTTCAGTGATGAGATCTGGTCCCGCATACCTTCCATCGACGAGACAGATATCCTCACCCGAGATCAAACTCCTTCTGACTCACGCCCGACTCGAAATCCATCGGGTTTCGAATTCATGTACAATCATTCTCACGTCCTGTTAGCTGCCTGCAGCAGGGATAGCAAAGCACAAGCGAAGAAACACAAGGGCGGCGTATTCACCACTGCTGTCTTGGACATTTTGGAGTCGGCGAGGGCTCGGGGACAAAACATATCAAATATCAGCTATGTTTCTCTCATGGAGGGGCTGCATCAACCGTATGTACCAGCCGTCTCGGTGACTCATCCAACAGATTTGACGTTTATCTTTATAGAATCCTCCGGCTCCTGCAGAGTCGAACTGGCGTTGTCCGTACGCAGTTTCCTCATTGCGAAGGCGTCAGCAGCAATCGTGGCATTTTCAGTCATGAGGTGGTATTCGTTGATAACGAGCTTGTACGGGTGACACAAAAGGACGGTCGAATCTTTCTCTGTGCCGGACATGCTCAAGGAGTCATCCCAGGCTCTGAGTACTCCGTACATCGGGACAGGGATATGCCAGCAGCCTCGAGCGCACTCTTAGGAACGATACTGCAGGTCTCCAATATTGATACGTTCCAAGCAGAGCTGATGCTTCATGGCATGCCGCTTTCCTATTTTCCCCGGTCTTGCTTTGCAAAATTCATGAGAGCCCCTCACAACTCTCCGCTATTGAGCGTGTTTTGCAATGATAGTACATGGGTTCGGCATGTCATTGGAAGGAGGCAGGATATCCGATGGGTCGGTTGTCGTGAGGATGCCCAGATAGAGCTCGTCATTGACAATCAGGAGATTGCATTTTACACCCTCACTCCTGTGAGAGGCAATGTGTACAGCTGTGAATCAGGACGCATACCCAGATGGGTTAGGACTTCCGCCGGGATGGAGGAGAACAAAGACCGGGCGATGGACGTTCTCCGCTGGGCCAATAGATTCTACTATCATCTGAATCGACATTCGGTCATCTCGGGTGTTTCGCTGGAGTTTCATGCATTGGGGAAGGTCTCCCCCCCGACCCGTGACAAAGATGCATCGTACAGTCGGATTGGGCACAATCTCTTTGATAAGTATGGACAAGCGGTCATCAAGATTGATAATCCCAAAAGTCCGTTTGGAGTGACGCTCTATAACAGAAGCAGCATTGATTATTATCCATACTTTTTCGCTTTCGAGTCTGATTTGTCGATATGTATGTTCAGTGCCCTTTTCTCGCCCTTACCAGCTGACACATAAGCAGCTTCATCTGCCTTTGATGAACCACAGTTCAGCGTCGTGCATGGGCAGTCCGACGTCGTTGACTGTCCGCTGCCAAGAGGATCGTCAATGACTTTGGGGTGTGGATCTGCGAGCAATCCGGTTTGCTTCCCGCTTTTGCCGGGAATGGTTCATGATGTCACCGTGTGGAAGATTTTCCTGACCACAGATCGTGTGGATATGGGGTCGATTGGACAGAGTTCCGAAGTTATCTGGGGAAAGAGGAGGGCGAGTTTGAAAGACCCGGAGAGCTACGTTCAGCATTGGGCCGATGTATCTGGGACAGTTGTCCAGTTGAAGAGTTATTGAGCTGTAGTAGGCTGTGCCAGGCCTGGGAGATTGCCCGGATTGGAATAGCTCATTCCTTAAGCGCCCAAGTTATTAAGCCCCAGGGTCCAATTCAGCACCATCAGTAACGCTCTTCTTTGATTCGACTACCGTTGTAAATTCTCAGCTCGCGGAATCAAGCAAGGTCTGGTATGGCATAGCCTTCATTTAGTCCCACCATGCTTACTTGGCATTTGTATCCAGGAATGTCAAACACCTTGCTGCGCGACGAGGCTATCTCTTTACTGGCTCAATTTTCCCAACATAAGGAACCCAACCTGCTTTTTCAAGCAATAGCCATTTTGAGGCAGGCACTATCGCTCGAATCCACATCCCATCCCGACCGACCTCTTACTCTGAATAAGCTCGGATGTGCATTGAAGACGCAACACGACATATCACCGGATCTCAACGTTCTGAAGGAGGCCATTGGTCATCATCGAGAATGCCTCCAGTGCAGGCCCAAAGGTCATGAAAACAGAATTCAAACCTTGAATAACCTCGCCAATGCCCTCAGAGCCCTTCGTGCCTTTGCCGATGACGTGGATGCTGGCAACGAAGCTATAGCGTTGTTATGGGAAGCCATTACCACGCTTGACTTCCCTGCAAACATTCGCAGGGTGTGCAGTTCCAATCTCCGATACGCACTGAATGAACAGTACGCTCAAACTAGCCCTCGCATCCACGAGGAACAGCTACGCACGCTTAGCATTGAGCAAACGCTGTTGGCAGCAGCGTTACAGTCAGACTTCCGAGAGCACGCGATAACTGAATATGAGTTGGCACGCACGCTCTATGACATTGCAGATTTTGGTGGTGATGTCGACAAGACATTTTCTGGCCTCGAAAAATCAATTGGTATTTTCCGGCGTCTCTATACGTTGTATACGCACGGACCAGCTTCCTTTCCTTCTGAAATCGACCTTTTGGCTGTGGCCGACGCGTTCAGGAAGCGTTTTGAACTCAAACGTGGTGTCGATGACATCGACTTTGCGATTATGGTATTGGAGACGTTGCGTGCATCCACGGACGACGTGCAAATTGAAGCATCCATGAACCTGGCAATCTGCCTTTCCAGCAAATTCAAGGCCGTGCCGTCGTTGGGTTTGTTGGATCGGGCTTTTGGGATTCACGAATCCTTGCTTGAACTACCTCTTGATGCTATGGATATCAAAGATCGTATGCAGGTTTTACATGACAAAGGCTTCATACAACTGTACCGTTTCCGACATCTGCAAAGTCGAGGGAAGGTGGACAAGACATTGCTTCATGACGCTATCGATTTCCATGTTCAAGCGCTGTCCCTATATCCGCTGCCATATGAAGATCGTCATTACGATATGCTTAATCTTTCCAGCACCCTCCTTCACTTGTTTCGTGCTACTCGGCGATATGGTCTCGTCGAAGCACAGGCTGTAGCTATCGAAAACGTGCAATCCCTATCTCCCGACCACCCGCACCTGCATATACTCAAGGTACATCTGGGAGAAATTAATCAGCACTTTGACCGATGGATTTCGTACCAAGAGGACGCTGTTCCTCTTGAGTACATGAAAACGGCAAGGTCTGTTAATGCTCCCATCGTGCAACGCGTTTGGGCGTTAGAACATTTATGCATCTATGCCCTTGGGGAGCCCGACATGCCTGAGGAAGATGCCAAGCAAACTTTTCAGACGGCCATAGACCTTTTACATCAACTTGCATTCATTGGATGGGACCTTGAGTCTCGATATCGGCGGCTGAGTTCCATCGCTACGGTATTCGCATGTGATGGTGCAGCATGGGTGTTGCGGGAAGGAGACATAGGACAGGCCGTGGAATGGCTTGAACAAGGACGGTCTATCCTTTGGCTGCAACTTCTTCAGTTTCGCCAACCGTTTAATGACGTAGTCCGGGAATCCTTGCCGGACGAGCTTGTCAGGCGTGCTATCGCTATTGCGAACAAGATGGATCGTTCCGAGTGGGATAATTCAGAGAGTGCGCTTGAACAGGTGGATCTTGCAACGCAGTGGGACGCGGTTATTGCTGAAATACGGCAATACGAGGGATTTGAAGATTTTCATCGTACGCTTCCCTTCTCTGAGTTGTTGGCGGTTGGAGAAGAAGGCCCCGTCATTCTTCTCACATCCTCTGAGCACTCACCGTACGACTGTGATGCTATAATATTGGGTCCAAAGGGCTTTCACACGCATGTATCGATTCCCAACTTCAAACACGGCGATGTAACAAGGCTGCATGTCACTGTTTCCCAAAGTGTCCCACGACGTATGGGTAGGGTGCAGGAAGAGAAGAGTGGGATGCAGTCAGTACTAGAGATGTTATGGCATAACGTTATCGTTCATCTCCTTCCCACTTTGGATTCTTTGGGTGGAGAAAGGATCTGGTGGTGCCTAACTGGAGCATGGGTTGGTTTACCAGTGCATGCTGCAGGATTATACGACGAGGACAGCCCTCAAGGTTGTAACCTTCCCAACCACTATATATCTTCCTACATTCCGACGCTATCCTCTTTGATCAATGCTCGACGACGTAATACTACGATTACCATTCCTAGGACACTTATCCTTGATCAGTCACACGAGCTCGAGAAAGTCAAAGTAGAAACTCAGCTAGTGCAAAGCATCCTGCCTGACGGATCGACGACGAGATGGTCGAACGATGAGGCGGGGGTTCTTGCGGTACGGGATATACTGCCATCATACTCTTGGTGGGTTTCTTATGCGATCGAACATGCGACCTCATTAATGACCTCCCTTCTCCAGGGTTCACTTTGCATGTCACGGTCATCTTAACGAAGGAAATCCATTTCTGAGCGGGTTCAAGCTGTGGGACGGAGTACTTACTTTGTCAGACATGGTGCGCGCCACACCCCAGGATCCTCAGTTTGCATTTCTGTCTGCGTGTAGCACAGCAATTGCGGCTGACAGAACTCCAGACGAGTCTCTCCATCTTTCCGCTGCAATGCAGTTCTTGGGTTATCGCAGTGTCGTGGCGACGTTGTGGCCGATGGGAGATGCACAGGGTCCAATCGTCACCGAGCATGTGTATAGGCACCTGACGGAGAAAGGCGCTATGGATGTTAGGCGAGCTGCTTTCGCATTGCATTCAGCAGTGAGAGCACTCCGCGACCAAGGATTGTCGGTGGAACAATGGGCGCTTTTCATCCATAGTGGGATATGATACAACCACGGAGCTGTTCTGAAGCACGTTTGATGCTACGCTAGTTAGCGGTCTTTCTCCTTGGTTGGTCCCTTCCTTTTCCTTGAAAACTTCGAACCTTGGACGGCATTCTGATACTTCTATGTCTTCTCAATCATCTGATCGGTTCTCAGTCCCTTGCTGTGATCTCTCCTTACACTCCATATTTCGTTCATATATAATTTCGATGTCAGTTCTGCCCTAGTTTTTTTCAATGAGCACCAGCAGAAATCATGTCGAATGAAAATAACCACTCAAGCTCAAGCGCAACTTGTAGAAACGTTTATCGCTGCGGCTTTCACTGTTCTCCGTCAGACAATTCCTTCGCTTCATGCGGATACGAACAGATGACAGTGCTTTGTGGAAGAGGAAGTATTACAGTCATCAAAACAGGTGAGAGTGATCGGCCTAAGACATCTTGCATTCAATACTAATGCTATCTACTTATCAACTCTAAGATATCTCTCATTTGACTGCCGTACCACCTACCTACCTTCATTCTGAATCTTTTTTCTCAACGACTTCATCCTCAACCGTTTTATACTGGAGACTGCACATATCAGCACACATTCCCTTCCACCTCTTTGTGTTAAGACGGTCCATCGTTGACCCGCGCTTTCTGGAGCTTCCTAATAGAACGTCCTGGCTGTAGCAAGCATTCCGGCACCAATCACAAATTCCTTCTTCTTTGGGCACCTTCATGTTCTTAGCATGAGCGCGCAAGGTGTAGTAAAGCCAGGTAGGACTGTTGAGTTTTTCCTCTTTCATCCGATATTGTCCCGCTGGAAGCTGATCTACAACGACCGGATGAGATACCCTGAAGGACTGATACGTTGCGTCTTCCTGGGGAGTAGGTTCCAGCAGGTATCGAATAGCAAAGACTTCAAATAAGCCATTCAGACCATCGATGGCAAAGGAAGCCACCGGGTCCGCTGACTTCAGTGTCGAGCGTTTCTGTTTGCCTCCGGTATCACCTGCGGAACAAAGGATAGACGAATCAAAGAGTTGTGTCATAGCTTCGTACAGCTGACCGAGTTCCAGGACATTGTTGGTGTACATCAACGCAACATATAAGAGAACCCAGAGCGCAGATTCCCTGTCGTCCACGATCGTGTGTAGGTGTCATAAGAGGCGAGGAGGTTCGCAGACATGAATTGCCAGGTTCCCTGATTAGGTACTTGAGTATAGGGTCTATGCCATATTTATTGACGAGGAAACCTACCCGTTCTGCCTACGCGCCTGCTCGCGGCCCTGGATTCAAGGATGACACAATGGTCCCAGTCCACCAGGAAACCTCTGTGTCTGGGACTGATCATGATGTTGCCGACACTTATATCACGATAGAGGATACACGCTCTGTCAAACGCTGCCTGGTGAGCTAGCAGAAACTCTCATCAGATCGTGAAAATTGAGAAGGGGAAACATGATGACCTACCTTCCATAGCGTCAGCGACACAGGTTACCAAATCCTTCGCGTTGCAGAACGTGGTGAGATCCCGTCCAGTATCCTTCAAAAAAACGCGGTGCGCCTGCAACTTCTGAAGACGGGATGTCTCGTTACCAGGGAGAGGGTCAGCCGATGTTGTCCCTACGCATTCCTGAGTGATCGTGCGCATGTCAACAACGTCGCCGCCAGTCTCCATTTCCGCTACATGCGGAATTTGATGCATTGCGAGAAGTCCATAGATATCCAACTCTCTTTTAGTACGAGTGGAGTCCTCGCGCCAATAATCTTTCGTAAACAGCAGCCCTCCGAGTCTTTCTTTAGGGCCGTTGAGATGGGGACTATCCAGATAAAGGGCGAGAGACCGGTGCGTGGATCGTCCAAATGGTGAAAACGCCCCGTCATCGAACTTTGGTGCGCACACTATGAACCGGCGGGCTACATTGTTCAAGATCACTTCCATACCCGGGAAAAGCTTCTGCTCCGTGATGCTTATCTCTTTCTGCGGCTTAGCCCGGGCATCATAATGCCACATATCCGTATCGTACAGATCAAACTTTTCCCTAGCAGCCACAGCATCGTCGTCATCGTCGGCAATAGGAGAAATAGTAGTGTCCTTCCCTAGTTGGCTAGGTGACAACTGCGCGAAACACTTATAAAAAATTGAAAAGCAGATGTGGTTCCTCTGTATAGTCAAAACGTTTGCTGACAATAGCACCCGCTCGGTCCTAGCGTATAAACCCGGCGAAGCATCCACAGGCGAGAACGGTGAAAAGGGAATCGATGTTGGAGCATCATCGTGGCACCTGCATAGCAGGCTATCTGGCCGTGCGTCTCGCGTCCCTTGATGGAGTCATTCTCATATCTGCCATGGAAACAAGCATATCTCTTCGTTTCTTCGAAGGTTGTTTTTTCCTGTAGCTCGCTGGAGTGCTTTCGTTCCAAGACGTGGGCTCTTGCATGAACACTCTCGCCGAAGGACCACAAACAAAGTGACCACGCGTTTCCACTTATCTTGTTTCTTTTGAACGATCTCACAGTTATCTTGTGGCTGACATGTTGTGGAAAATATTCCTGGGCATTATCAAGCTCCAGTGCAGCCATTATCAAAGGTTAAATACTTTTTTGTAAAGACTACATGTCATCCAAACAGATCCTTGACTTCTCTCCGTTGGCCTGTCAGTTTTTTTTTCCATTGAGATGAGCCTCGAATATATTTAATATCTGTCGCCGAAAGCATGCGTAGGGACAAGATAGTACCTCTATTACACACGGCTGGGCACTTGCGGTCAAGACCGTTCACGTAATGGATGTCCCATGATTAAGAGTATTCTCGGCCAAGAGATGGAAGAAGAGAAGTTAATCAGTCAGATCCACTTCCATCTGATTATCATGCCATCAACCAGTACATGGAAAAGACAAGGCTCTGCTTATTTCTTTTGTTCAGTCGAGCCTTGGTGAATGGGTAACACTCAGAACTGGGCAGCTTGTGGTTGGTGTGAAGTATAGGAGCTCGGGTAAACGAGAGAGTCCGTAGGCGGCGGTGTACAATATGGGTAATATAGGTGGGAAAAGTCGGGTAACACGTGTCTCATTCAACAATACTTTTCCCGTCAGTTCGAACACTGGTTGTTGGCTACACTTGTGATTTATTTCGGCTTCTTCACCCCCCCGGTTCCCCCTGCATTGCTTGCAGTCCTCACAGTCACCGTTGGCGGCTTATCCTCTCCTCTGTCTTCGAAACTACAGGAGCTCAATGCAGTATCAACACTCATCCAGGATACACTCACTCGGAGTCGTAGTCTACTACGATCTCAGGTTCCAAGCTGGAGGAATTCGGAGTCGCGGCAGACGATGATCCTACACTTGGCGCTGTCAGACGCCAAGCCAACTCAACAGGTATTTGGATACGCACCTCCGGCAGGTCCATTCTGGGAACTCGGCGTCAGTTCTGACCCAGATCGCTGGACGTCCTTTGTGTCACTAGTTCTATCCTTGGTCCTTGCAAGGTAGGATGAGGACGGTGAATACTCACGTCATGGTAGTCATTGTTCTAGAGTTTTCAGCAAGATCGTCGCAGTAGACTGTCGATACTTTATCTACAAAGCTGGGCGCTTGTTGTTTCGAAAACAGTAAGGCGTCTAGCTTCGTAATAATCCTGGTGCATCGGATCTTTCTCATGTCATAAGTATAATAAATAACATGATAAGGGAGCAGTACTACTTAGCGCCGACGAAGCCTTACTCGTCGATGACGTGAATAAATACTATTGTCTACCTGCCAGTCACTTGACAAGCAGGCGGTACATGCTTGAGTTGTGCAACAACTCCGGAATCGACAGCAGCCATTGACGAGCGTCAGTACAAGTCACCCACCCGTAGAAAATGATCAAGCTGCCCAAAATAACCCATGCTACACTAGATAGAACAAGAGTCACCGGTGCAGTGTTCCATAAACACATGATCATAAACGCAGTGACGAAAAAGACGATCCTAAACCCGGCCATCAGAATTACGATTTGAACCGAAAGGAAAAGAAAACACCCACCCCCACATGAGCAGAGCATACGGAAGACTGTAAAGGATTGCAATATTCTCATACCTGTAAGAAGAATCTTGGTACGAGTTCATGATCGTCGCCTGTTGAAAATTTCATCAAGAAACGAATGATATTACGCTCACGCAAATAACTCACAGCTTCATCTGTCGAGATATTCAGTCTTGTGTTGTTGCGGCGGAGGAGCAACAGAGCAAAGAATATGCTCCCAAGGGACGAAACTACCGAAAGGTATATAAAAATCTTGAGAGGCGAACTACTCGGACCGGTATCGACCGACTGGATTGATAAAAACGCGACGTCTACATTGATGAGCACCGTAGACTGGCATGCACATCAGTGTTTATCAGGCCTTGATATCGGAAGACTTACGTATACAGTCAGATGGGACCAGTCTTGACAAATCTTATCGATAAAACCTCTCCAGGCTTCCCGACTAAGCAATCCATCCGACAGCATGGATTCAATCTCGTGAAGGTGGGCACAGGGCGCAGCGAAGAGTAGGTGCTGGAGTATGTGAAATAGAAAGGAGTGCATGTGAACTTTGTTCTTGTCATAAATGGAGGTACCGCGATTGAGTCGTGCCGCAGGTTCACCGTAAAAGTGAAGGAAGCGGTCGTGGGCTAATCGACAAGATAATTAAGTATGCACCGTGGCATGTAGCGGAATAGGGGGAACGGACCAAAGTGTTTCATGAGAATGTAAACAATTCGAGAAACTCCTGCCCCAGATTCATCATGATTATCTCGACTCCTCGCAGGAAGAAGTTGCAGCATTCCCCGAAGCTCCTCTATACTATAAGAAATGGTGGACGTCGTTGACACCAAACTATCTGATGATCCTGGGGCATAAATGGGAAGGCAGAGCAAGGGGGGGGGGGGTATAACTCACCGCCAATGGCATGGAGGATGATATCTCTCAGTTCGTCGATTACTGCTTGCGATGCACACCGAGGAGACGGAAAGAGGGCGCAGTGATGCCTGCAGGAGGAGCTCGTTAACAAAATACGCTCGTAGTTGGTTCAATCTGCCCATACCAATATTGTGACTGTATTTCATGTACTATTGGCACCCAGCAATTAGTGCGTGCGCGAAACGAGAATGATCACATGAATATCAATACTGACGAATGTGCTCTGGCGAAGTGACCCCATTGATGTCCGGCCAAAGACGCTCTGAAGATTCGAATTCGTCCAACCAGAACACTGTTCGATTTTCGTGGTGGGCAAAGTAGTATCCGCAAATCGTCCTCTTCGTATCGCTGAGAGTGACATCCAAGACGAGGTCCACATTTTCGGTGTCAAATGATACTTCCGTGACATCACGGCGTGTCAGATATTCGTCGACTTGGTCCACAAATTGCCGAACAGCTTGTAATATCTGCGGATCAAGCAAGCGCGCCTCGGTGTAGATAGTAAACAGCTGTGTCAGTTTAAATTAGTATTCAAGAAGAGGCACAGAGTGAACCACATACATCGTGTTCGCAGCGGAAATAACGGGCCCCTTCAGGATGGGTATGCGAAGTCCATGGTTGAGGAAGTTCACTTCTACAGAGGGTTGCAGTTTATTTGCGCGAAAAACAGATGTGTTTCGGACATACCGAGCGAGCGAGACCGTCAATCGAGGGATGTCATAGTTGATATGTTTGTCTTCTCTGGACGAAAAAGAGCTCAGCATTTGATTGTTCCATAGAATATGCTGACCTACACCACATCTGGTCGTTGATATCGTTCGAACTCCGTGGGAGCAATGGTGTAGAATAGTTCTCCAATGACAGAGCATGCCTCGGAGGGCATCTTTTCTGGCAAAGATTCTTCTGAATCGCCCAACGTTGTTGTGGTATCAGGCGATGGCAAAGCGGTATCCACGACGCTGGCAGGCTGGGACATGGTACTCGAGTTACCAGTCTCTGACAATGACCCAGACTGTGGCGTCATGCCCGCCAAGTCATCGTGACCTGACCCTGACTCGTGCAAGACCTCGTTGGGAATGGGTTCGGGAACCACACGTATGGGTAGAGTGCTCGAACAATTATAGCTGAAGTACATGTCTGCCTGCAGGTTTCTGGCTGTCGAACTCGTGTACCCCCATCCAAAGAAACATAGGGATTGAGATATCCGCTGCTTTGATTGTGGCGGAAGAAAACTGAAGAGGCGCCCCAAGAGGTTACAAAATGGATAGAAGGATGTTCGATTACATAGTGGGGCAAGCTTCGAGGCGCTTCGTTGCCTGAGTACGGACCAAATATGACGAATCAATGAAAACAGAACAAAGTTTTTGTAGATGAGCATTGTGGGACACGGCCGAGGAATAAGATGCAATGAGAGGAAAGGTTCTTAGTCCTATAAAAAGGATCTAACGCTGTGAGAAGCTGTGAATAGATGTTCTAGTCTTCTGATGGAGAATGCCGCGGCGTCCCGAGAACCGCTCTTGTTATATTTGCACGATATCTGGTATAGCTTCCTCGAGCCGACCCGAAAGAAGAGCTAGCTTGATGACGCCGGGCACCGAGCACCTACATTAGACAACAACCCAGAGTGGCAGGATTCAAAATCTCAGTATAGAACTGACGCTGACGGAATGGGGCCTTGGGCGGTAGGTGGTGTATCCTTGCTACGCGCTCCCAGCTCTAGACAACGTCGTGGGGATGAACTGGTGTTATATCGTTTAGAAACATTGCAGAAGTGTGCCATTGGCAAGAAGACCCACACCTATAGAATAGCTATTTCCGTGCTATCGCTCTACTTCCCTGGGCATCGCCTTATGCATATATGCGTGTCATCTCGTGTACTACAGCGGGAAGACATCATTGATTCCGATTCCGAAACCATAGACAATTGCCAGGCATGCTACAGTTGTTTTTATTGATAGTCTGTCGGTGGCGGTATCTTCTACTGTCGAGTATGCAGCTTGGGTGAAGACGGCGATATGCATTGAATAAGGAGAGGCCGGCGGTATCGCGTTACGCGTCGCGGTGACGATGGATGCACGTGGTGGCTGTGACGGCCCATCAACAGAGGTTTGCATGAAGGCCTGCGAGATGCTTCCACACTTGGAATAGTCGAGCGTCTTGTCAGTGCCGAGCACCCGTTGATAAATAGAGCCAAATTGAAGATGCCGCCCATCGGCATTCACTATAATATATCTAGTCTCGTTCCCAGTGGTGTTCTGCAAGTAATATTTCCTTCGTCCAGTCAGGCTGGGAAATAGCCATCTACTATCTTTCCTGACCGTCATGGTGATGACGTACATTTTGGAGATCTACTCATTCAGACATCAGCTCAACATTATCCTTTACCATTTGGAATTCCTTGAAATTTTCCTCGAACACACATTCTTGTATCACTTTCTGTCGCCTGGTCGTCAAGCTGTCCTTGATCATGAATGGAAAGCCTACCGTACATACACATGCGACTATTTGCATTCTTGTTTCTTATTGCTCTTCTCTCCCAAGGACTGCGCACCTTATTTCGTTCTTTTTCCTCCGATGCACTTCAAAAATCGACTTCTTCTTACATTCAGTCCGACCTTAGTGACGATCGACCCCTTCACCTGGCAGAGCTTCTCGGTTCATCAGGGAGCGGGATGATACACCAATGACTTCCTTTATCCGCCTCGTCCTAGCGGCCGAACAAGTTCGGAGAAAAGGGGATTGGATTACCGTTGGGAACGAGATCCAGTACTTCTGGCGACGTGGGGTGCGTGTATTTATTCATCCATGTCACTGGATCTACGGAGGAGAATGGCTCATTGAGGATATCCCGGATCCAACACCATGGTTCGGGAATGATCCTATTCGATACGTTTTCGCCACTTGTATTGCAGAGCAAATGGCCGAAGTGTATAACTGGAGGTTAGACAGACTGAACGTCAGAAGAGATAGATGGGTAGGAAAGGTTTCAGGCCAATGGAACCCCAGATTACCCCCCCTCGGCGTGAGCGTGCCCCGAGATGGTGTGCAAATGTCGGACCATCTCCCAAACGTCGTATCGTCGATGAGTATCGCAAAGCCCCTCATATTCGATGGCCAGAGGATGAATATTCGGAGATTTTTTCAAAACGGAACTTCATCGCCAAGACGGGATTTTTGGAATTCGCGTGGTGAGTAGCCCAAATATTTTTCTATATGGCCCTAATCATCACTCATATTTTTACTTGTGAAAGGAAACGATATACACAAGCGTAGGTTCAGTTGAAGAGCTGTTCTAGTCCTCTGTGCATTTCACTACCCTTGCCGCAATTTCGTGCTTGAAGCTAATGCACTCAACTGGGAACAAGGGAGTCCCTTCTCTCAAATTAGACATTCCATTGAATATACACTTGCAGCGTCGTCACGGCCCGGACCAGACTTGGCTTCGAGTTTCATAAATGGGGACCAGCCCGACGCTGTGAGGTTCAGTGACAGAAAGCTTATCTTTCTTACTAATGCCAGAGATAACGTTCTCGTTTACGGTCGGGCCGAAATTGTCTTTCCTTCCGGTAGTAACAGGTACTCCACGTCCTTTGCAGAGTTATCTCTTTTACAAACGTACCACGGATCTGAAATCTTCTTACGGTGCGTCCGATAATTACGCTGAAACGCGTTCAAAGGCAAGAACGCTGAATGAGTATGGTATACAAATTCAGAGTCGCAATCGTAAGGAATATTCAAATATTTGACTCTTACCCCTGTGCTCAGCCTGATAAGTCTGCTGGTCTCGATAATGATGGACAAACGTCTATCAAATAAACAGATTCACGACTCACCATGCCTTTAAAGGACTTTGTCCGCACCTTGTCGTTCATCTTTAGGCATTGATACGTTATCAGACGCACATGGAGACATTCCAAACTACTTTTTACGTTTCCGTACAACCCGCCGTCGAACAATGTCGTGTTGTTCTCCAAAAGGGTGATCTACAGGAAATCTATAGAGACCTCTCCAGACAACTTTTCGCTATACGCAACGAGCAAACTACCTTCATCATTCACGGTGGTGCTGTATTCGTTGGCTCGCTACAATCTAGGCAGTGCACAGAAGATATCGATTACATCTCACGCCACCTGGCGGGTGTCTCTGACAATAATGATTGTTTTCACCCCAAGGAGAGGCACGGTAACGACCTCTTCGGACAAGTACAATGGGTGATGGACCGAATCGGTTTAGATCGATCATTCCTTCAACACTGGATGAACTGCGATGGAGAACATCTAATACCCAATCACAGGGTCAGTAAGCCCTGCAACCTGCAGCATATTTGTATATTCACGCCCAGTCCAGAATCATCGACATCGCTTGCATCGCTAGCGAACAGCAGAATATAATCATATACCAAGACAGGGGCTTAAAGATTCTAGCAGTGGCTTGGCCATGGGCGTTTGCGAACAAAGTGGATCGATACCGGAAACACGACCCTCTGGACCTGGTCTCGCTGCTGTGGGCGCTCAATATGAAGACAGCTTCTCTGACGAAGAGGATAGCAACAGTGACGACAGTGACGACTAGAGTATATGAATGATCTGCGGTGGTAATTTGCTTATGGGTTCAACTGAAAGAAAGGCTATGTCCAAGTAAACTCGACTACTATTACATATAAGCCTTTTTTCTTGTTCTTCACGTCTATTTTTTACGCCGTCTTGACCTCAACTGCCTGAATCTATGCAAACAGATCCCGGTTAACCTCATCTTTGGCTTCCATATGCACCCAATGACCTGCATCGTAGACATGGGCAGTCGTATCCTTGCAAAATTTGCCTTTTGTGCCCGGCAGGTTCATCCTCACAAAGCAGATAGACATTCGAAGCTTCGCCAAGGAGAACGGATTTGGTTAGTTTCACGATCTTGGGGGATTTGCTTCAAGAACAAGCACAGAGGACCAAAGTAGAACTCTAGTTCACTCACCTTTGGAGTCGTCTGCCATGATGCTAGTGCGTACGCATTTATTGTAACAGCGCGACCCGCGACGGATGAGGAACGTGATAGGGCTACTTCTGAAGTTGGGGAGCGGATGCGCGCACAACAAGGTGAAGTGCCCTCTGATGCAGCGATACTTGGATTCCCTTGGTGATACGTAAATGACATGAATTATGCAATACTTTTCTTTCGACAGAACCTCAGGGTATAGTGACTAATTTCTTCACAAGACGCCCTGGCTATCTCCTCGGGTACCCAAATAGAATCACCAGTTATTGTCATGACGCGCAGACATCTGAGACTTTTTCATAGAATTTCAAACATACCTTCCGCTCTTTAGAAGGGTTCCTGAGCTTCTGGACCAAAAAAAAAGCGGCGCCAAGGTCTCCTTGCAGTGAACGTGATTATAGTACTTTTTAATCGGCACTAAGCATTACCGTTGGGAATCAAATAGAATTGAACCAGACCGTTTAGGCTCGAGATGCGTTGACTCTAGGCGACAAAGCCGATCAAACCGCTCAATATCTCGTGTCAAGTGAACGAGGGAGTGGAGAAGAATGGGTCTTTTTTTCTGATCACTGTCCCTGATAAAGTGAACGAACCTGTAGAGACGCTGAGATGGCGCCGCACCGATCTTATAGCACCCGTTTCTTTTCTTCCTGAGTGCCAAGAATCATTGTAAAGTACCGTTTTAGTAACTCTACATAATTTACAAATGTCGTGTATTTTACTAGCCGGCAGAATCATTCTCTTAGTACGATATTAAATTAAATTTTCTGTGGCGTCACAATGATAATGTTAATGCTTGAAATCCCCCTGAGGTAAGAGAAAAGGTGGGAAAGGGTCTGCAGCCAATAGGTCTGCAAGACCGATGTAAAGTGCACCAAATCCGGGGATGACACCGACAATCCCTCCTGCCTTTGCAAAACTATAGGATCGAGGACGTGAGCACATACAAAGACATAGACGAGAGGAAGGTACATACGCTGAACGTCCTGTGAACTCGGCTATAGCGAGCAGGAGGAAGGTTACAACAAGGGCTGCCAATACGGTAATCAAAGCCACAGTTTTCCGGAGCGCGACAATCCTACGTGGACCTTAGCAATAGGTACTAGCATAGTTACTCGGAGGAAACATACAAGAACATGACGGTGATGATGGCCCATACGATGAGGTAGATATCGAGGGCATCGCCAAGCATGTTTTCCTCACCATTATATGCAGAGGCAATGCCAGTTCCAGGAAGCAGGACGGCTGCATATGACAGCCAGAAGGTTCCATAGATACAGAACACTACAGGGTAGTTAAGTGGGTTACAAGGCACCGAAAAGGCGAGGGACCGCACAAACCTGATCCCGTGAACGTGCTCCTGCGACAAAATTCGATAATTCCACCGGTAAACTGGGATACGCCGCCAACGAATAAAGCCATGCCGACTACAGCGTTGGGGATGGTGATTCCGCTGGCCTGGGCGTTGTATAGAGAAAGGACGATACATGTAGAACCGAAGGAGAAGAGACCCCTGGAGATTGATTTTAGAAATTAGCCCGACGTCGAACGCTACAATGATAAACTTACAGAACGGAGCCATTAGCAGGAGGCGGGGCGGCGACGGGTGGAGAAGGATGATTGGCGTTGGCGAAGTGACCTTGAATCGAGAGATGGGTGATATCTTCGGTGATGCCCAATTCGAGCTTATCGACGTCAGTGGACGACATTCGATAGTGGTGTAAGCTTATAGTGTAGTAGTAGTCGGCAAGGGAGAAAAGCAATTAGAGTTCTTTTTCTCGATGTGCAGTCTTTTATAGACAGGCTAGATGCTAACTAGGGGCACTGGCACTTTTTTTGCACTTTCCGCATTCCGTCAATAGAGCTTGTCAAAAATGGAGTTGGTGCGGGGAAATGTCGAATTCGAAATTCCCCACAGATTGATGGAGATCTAAAGCCCGTGGGGATTGTGCTATCAGGAAGAATATATCCAGAGAAACGCAAGCCCATGTTAAATCAAGACACGTTTGACCAGCCTGGTCCAGTAGTGGTGTGGGTGCCAATTGCACTTACCAGTGACCATTGAGACGATGTACGAATACAGTTTGGAGTGAGCTAAAGAGGCAGGGAAGGTGAGAAGGAGTCTTTTTGATTGATGCCAAGCTCATTTGGGCTGCAGCACGGGATCGAAGGGCGCCGGGCCGAATCTCTGAACGGCACCCCGGTCTTCATCTACCCTAGCTGACATTCGATATTGCAGAGGACCATCTCCGCCAAGTGGCTTTAGTCCGACAAGCGAGCAACCGGCGCTGCGGCCCTGCCCAGGATGAGCGAATGCGACATGTGAGCAGCAAAAAGAGTGGTTCAGGCAAGCCGGGGGGTCGAAGAATAAATGTGGGGATAGACAAGCGAGGTTCCAGCGATGATAAAGTACGTTGACATCCGCCATCCAAACAACATGGCAGCGTTCTAGGAGTCGACATCATGAGTGAGGCAGATGCTTCGGGTTCTGAAGAGTGGGTGGAAAGAGTCACGATCATGGAAGGAAAATGGCGACGCTTTCGGACGCAACATGATGGCTGGATACCAAGACCTATACTACAGAGCGTTGGAATTGATCTGTACGCCATCCTTTGATGAACGTGATAGGGCTGTTCAAAGTGAAGCTCGAGAGCAGCAAAGTAAAAATTGGATGGCGAAACGATACTTGAATTCCATTGGTGGTATGCATCACTCTGTGGATTCTGTATGAGTTACAAGATATATTTTATTTTATCTGGTGCTTCATGATGTCCTTGTATCTGTTCTGAGTCTTTCGATTAGCTTCTCGACTAGAATGGAACTTAGGCAACAAGGAAAAAGGCTTGAAGTCTGTAGCCTGCAGCTCAACTTGCACGAGAGATATTCCAACCAAGTAGTTGAACGAGCATATGAATGATGCCGCGTCGCTCTTGCAGGTCAGCGGAACCGCTAATCTGATGTTTTCCCACGCCACTCTCATATTTCGGTCCGACCATTCCGAACATACTGGCTTTGTCGTGAACGTTTGAACCTTGATGCGAGTCTTTCTGTCCTCCATAGGGGTTATTTAGCATCGTCGATGTCTTAGAGCTCTACGATGCGGTAAAACTGCCAATTGGGGACTCAAAGGGCTTGGAATCCGTTTAGAACGGCCATTCTTCGAGACTTCGACATAGTGACACACCGGCGCGGATTGCTCGGCTTCGCGTTGGACCATCTTGTGGGAATTACTGCCTGCTCAGCCCTAAGTCTTCATCCTGGTGCACTGGTAGATCTCGCTAGCCACCGTTCAATCGGGAAAAATCGAATTGCCTGCACAGAATGATAAAGGATCCATGCATCATTGGCACATGGGAAGCCTGAACATTGTCCTTTCTCATGTCAGTGGGACTTGATTTGTCGATTATACAAATTACTAGTGTTTTGATATCGCCACGCCGCACGATTCAAGGCTGACTGCAGAGGTCTAGGCAACACACCCACTGGCGGGACGGATTCTAGTAGATTAGAAGACTGAAGGAAAATACACAAAACGCAGTTCCAGCGATGATTAAGCATTTCGACTGGCGCCATCTGAGCGTCTCAATAAGGCAATTTCTCTGAGGAGGGTCCTGAGAGTGGAGAGTGGATGGAGGGAAAATGGTGACGTTGCTGGATGAGATTGGTCGCCAATAATATTAATAAGTCCCTTACTACATTGCGTTTGAACTGATTCGTGTGCCAGCCCTGGCACCTGGACGAGGAACCTGGAACATGATAGGGCTACTGGGAGCAGATGTGCCCACGCAGCAACGTGCAGTGTCTTCTGGTGTTATCATGCAGCGGTAATTGGATTCCCATGATGGTACGTAGTATTCAGGGGATGATATATGCTGAGTTATGCAATACCTTTTTCGGGTGGAACAGTGGTAACTAATTCTCTTCCCTCTAAACACTGGCCAACTCCTTGGGCGCTCGCATAGAATCAGGTGGGCCATTCCAGTTATTGTCACGACAAGCATATCTGCGACTCTTATTTGTAGAATTTCAAAAATACTTTTCGCTCCGACCCTGAAGTTTCTTCTCTTTCTTTCGACCGGCCTCCTTTGGATGGGTTCCTGAGATTGCACCAGCCTTTGGACCAAAGAAAAAGCGGCGCCAAGAAACCCAGGGTCGTAGGCCTAGCTCTGCCTAGTTGCAGTGAATGTAGCACCTTTCAATGACCACTACATATGTACCACCTTTGGGGATCAAATTAGACTCGAACCGGATTATTTTACACTTGACGTCTAGGGATGAGACAAGTAGCGATCCATTGTGTATTAGCACTGGGCAATAAGATCGATTCAACCATATTTATAATCTATTTCACATCGAGTAGTGTTCATAGTCTTATAAAGATGCAATAGCAAGACGTTGAGCTTATAGCATCCTCGCTTTCCGGAGTGAGAATCGTTGTCAATCGTCAAACCGTTGTCAGTAGTATATAATTTACAAGTATCGTGAATGCGTCATTTATAGGGAAGTTACAGAATCATTATCATTGTTACGATGTCAAAATTTAACGAGCTGTAATGCTTTATCCATGACCCTAATGCTTGAAAACGCCCTGAGGCAAGAGGAAAGGTGGGAAGGGGTCCGCAGCGAGTAGCTCCCCAAGACCAACATACCAAGCACCAAAGCCTGTGACGACACCGACAATACCTCCCGCCTGTGCAACACTATAGGATCGAGGACGTGAGCACATACGATGATATAGATGAGAGAAGGATACATACGCTGAACTTCCAGTAAACTGGGCTATAGAGAGCAGGGTGAAGGTTGCAATAAGGATACTTAACAACAGAACCAAAGCCACGGTTTTTCGGAGCGCAACAATCCTAGATTGACCTTAGCAATTAGTATACTAACGCAGAAGAAACGTACCAGAACATGAAGCTGATGATGGTCCAAATGACGAGGTAGATACCGAGGGCATCGCCAAGCATGTCGGCGTTGCCGTCATATGCAGCCGAAATGCCAGTTCCGGGAAGCAGGACGGCTGCATACGACAGCCAGAAATTTCCATAGATGCAGAAAACTACAGGATAGGTTGAGAAGGTTAAAGACACGGAAAAGGCGTGAGAGTGCACGAACCTGATCCGGTGAACGTGCTCCTGCGACAAAATTCGACAATCCCACCGGTAAACTGGGATACACCGCCAACGAATAGAGCCATGCCGACTACTACGTTGGGTACGGTGACTCCGCTGGCCCGAGCATTGTATAAAGACAGGGTAATACACGAAGCACCGAAGGAGAAGAGACCCCTGAAAAATTATCTTTCAAATTAACTCGACAAACGCGATAACGATAAACTTACAAAGCAGCGCCATTAGACGGAGGCGGCAGGGCAGCTGTGGGTGGAGGCGGCGGGTTGGCGTTAGTGAAGCGGCCTCGTACCGAGCGATAGGTGATATCCTCACTGACGCCCGACTCGAGCTTTTCGATGTCAGTGGACGACATTTGATAGCAGGTTATAGTAGTGGTGGGCGAGGGAACCAACTGGCATTCTTTCGCTCGCTGTCTCGTCTTTTATAGATGTGTTCACATACCACATGTAGTCACTATCCCACTATGGGCCTCTCTGCCGATTCCATCAATTGATCTTACGATCGAATTGAAAAATGGAACGAGAGTTCGTCAAAAATAGGCTTGGATGCGGGGAAATGTCAAATTCGAAATTCCCCACAGGATCTTCGGATCTGGAGCCTTCAGAGTGCGTACTGTCAGGGAGAACATATCCGGAGGAACCCAAGCCCAAGTAACGGATAGATCTAGGGACCATCAGTCCTTAGTAAAAGCCACCCAACAAAGTAACTTGTTCAGGATCGTGACAGCAAATCACGTTCACGAGTCACTGAAAGACGGCCTCCCGGAGTTCCGCTACTTAGTAGTTCAGGCCTTTGGATTCACCCTCGGGCCTTGGATTTCTAGAGTGCTGGTTGGCGTCAGAAGACAAACCTTTTACCCCACATTCCTCTACTCCGTAATCTGATTTGTGGGGTTAGAAGTTCAATCAGGATCGCGCAGTCCTTTACTGGTACATCTACTAGATGTCTAGCTCGTAAATTATCTGAACACCATGTTAGCCGTCGAGAATATTAATCAATGCGAGCACAGTGTGGCCTATTCCGAAAGACTCAGAAACAACGACTGAAGAGGTATCAACATATAAGAGAATGGTGAAAACCTGACGACAAACGCTTGAGAGTTTGGAGGGACCGCGTGGATTATGAATTATCTTTTTTGAATGTTTGTGATAGTATTGCACTTCCAGACCTTCAAAGACGTCGATTGCGATCAGCGGCGAGGACACTACTTGGTTAGGCAATTTTGTTGAACATGAAGTCTCTGTACTGTAACGGAGTGTATTAGAGGTGAAAACGACATAGAGTTCAGGCACTGTTCCTACCCTGTATCGCCACAACACCAGGCTCGGGCATACGCACCTGTACGAATATGTTGACCAGCGCCAGAGGTCCCGATCGAGACTGTCAAAGAGTGCCTACAAACTTTCCCACCTCCCTTTCTGGCTACCAAAAAGTTGAAAATACTGTAGCTTATAGGAGGAGAGGTGGGTCCCACTGAGGCTAAGACGAAAGCCAGTCACTCGAAGTTTCGACGGAGAATAGTAGAGTACACCGGTGTGGAATCTCGGAAGACCTTAAAAGTAGGGGTCAATTGAAAAGTGGAAAAGAAGTGGTTAAGTCTTCAGCGTGGGCAACCGATAACCGTCGTATGTGCGAAAGCTCGCAGACTAGAACCTATCGTCCCCCTTCCAATCCGCCGAACGTTTCAAATTCAAACTTTACCGTCATTTAATCACCACGGCATTAGTAGAGTGCATATGTGTCACTGGTGAGGAAGTTCAACGACGATATGAAAAAAAGGATGTAAACCACTACTTACTGTGTGGGAATTAACCTACACCCGAAATGTTCGATTTTCTTATTCCTTGATGGCGCCACCGGTATCCACAGCGTCTGCAATTGTACCAGGGTGATATAAATGGAAGACGTCTGATTCTCAATTTATGTCTTCAATACGTCTTCATAGACTCGGCAGTTGCCGCCTGCATCTGTTCCTACCTCGAACCAGTCTGCCTAGCGGGGCGGCATTGCTATTCTTGCTATCCAACGACGACATCCCTCATACGGCAGATCGGTCCCAGTATATCGACCACCTATACAACGATACAACGATACAACGATACAACGATACAACGAAGGAGCTGTCATCCAGCATGAACACTGTTCCCTGAAAAGATAACAGTTGAATTCACACTGCGACGCACGGTTGATGTCAACTTGGTAAACGTTGTGTTGCACATTGAGGCTCCCTAACCTGGTGTTTCAATTTGGGTAGACTTTCAGGAATCTGAAAATAGAGACGCTGCTTACTTCCTTCCTTCCTTCCTTTGGATGTCAGGGATTATATTCATTCAATACAAGCAGTATATCACAAAACACACCGGAATACAAATATCGATTTAGCACAGTCGGATCTTCCCAACCGTGGGATCATGGTCACTGGTCCGACTGTCATAAGATGACCAGTTATTAACCTGGCTGCGGTCAGATGAAGAAGTTCAATCGAGACAGTGCCGTTACTCACATGCATATGTTCCGCCTCCACGCCGCGTTTTACGATAGCACTAGAAATAAAGATATGATCAAGCTGCTGCATGTTCTGATTGTAAACATAAGTGTATTGCTCAACGTCAGCTATTCCAGCTACTTCGTCGATATCTTATAGAACCTCCTGGAGGGATTTGAACACCGAACGAGTCTGGACGTATTCATTGAAGTCTCCTGCAATCACGATATTGGCAGAGTTGTCGATATCGAGAATGGCCTTAATGAAGGACTAGAAAGATCATTTTATAGACAGTTCGTTCCCAGAGAGAAGACACTCACTAAAGTAACCCCAACTTGACTTGTCCGCTGTTCGATAGGGGAGTTCACTGGTGGTCGGGGATCCCCTTGTGTAGAAGTGCTCCCACCCTTGGATGACAAGTGAACATTAATGGTGTACATTTTTGCGCCCGAGCTTGTCGCCCATTCCGCAACAAGAGGCTTTCGAGAATCCTTCCAGGCATCGTTCGTGGGGTCTATACGACCGGGATTCAAGCTTCCGTACAATCAGAAATGGAAAATCATCAGCGTCGGCCATTACATACTTCAAGGTAGGGAAGCCGACCGAGTCCGCACAAACCTCCAGGCTCTCCAGTGAGGTTCCTACAGGTATTCCCGAAACGAGTTTAAGTTTGTCGGCATTGTACCTAAATAATATCATTAAATTTGGTCATAGACAGTGAAATGACGTTAGACCTACAGATAAGCTTGCCGAATGTTTCCTCCCGGCTGTCCGCCATCCTGCCCATCTTCGGGGTTGATGTCGACGAATTCATAAGTCAGCCCACTCTCATCAGCAATAGCAGAAGCTAAGGTTGAGAGGGTTAGATTAGCATCGACGACACCATCATCGTCAGCTCCACTGTTATTTTGGATTTCTTGGAGTCATAATGTCGGGTATCAGAAGGTAGTCGGAGATTTGCTTTGCGACAGCAGGCAGATGGTCAGAGGTCGGTGCCATATTCTCGACCTAAAGGTGAGTTGGAGCAGCTGCCGAACGTACAGATTCCGCCGAATGTACGTTATAATCACCAAAGGTAATGATACATGAATCTGTTTCTGACAAAATCGACGACGGAGGTACGTCGTAATCTCGTGTAGCAATGACGGTTGGAGCAGTAAGAGGAAGAACATAGTAGAATCCATATCTAGATTCAAGTAAGCTGACTGATCAGATGCAAATGGGCAACATACTGGTACGTCACTACACCTACGATGTCGCTCAACTGAACACCCACAGCAACGGATGAATTTTCAGTTCCATCAGTTGGCGATCCGATAATCACAACTTCGGGATTAGCATCTGGGATACCATCAGGACCTGGCAAGGGGATCAACGCCAGGATGGTAAATCATTTCCGGAAGAGCGCACCAAATGTGATGGTCAATCCCCCGCGTCCATTCAATCCAGTGACGTTCCAATTACCGTACACCCAGAATTCTCCGTAGCTATTTTCGAAATTGACAGAGACCGGGTTGTTGATCTGTACGAGTTGTCCGTCAAGACTCTGCCAAAAGTCCATCCCATACACATCAGGCTGGAGGGAAGGATTTGATATGGATAGGAGACTCTGATTGTTGGGAACTGAAAGCCACCCATCGGCACCGACATCCAATGACGATAAGTGCTGAGTTGGGGGAACCCGGTCTATTCTGATGACGATAGGGTCGACAGTGTCGTTGCTGGATAGGACCTTGATGCTGGAAGGCGAGCTGATTTCGGTCAAATAAAGGTAGTTGGATTCGGACCGATATTCAGCGACCTTTCCGCCAAGGGAGACGCTGTCTCCTACACTCACCTGCTTGACGGCCGCAGACCCATAGACGTAGATTCCATTGGGGACACGAGTATCGTTAACAGGATTCCCACTCAAGAAGAAACCATAAGATGTCTGCAAAAAAATCAGGATTATGTTCATGAGAGAGCCAGAAAGATTGACCTTGGCGGAGACCGCTCCTGTGATACCGCTCACCGTTTGGCCGACCAGGGATGAGCGATAGGTCGTTCTTCGAACGTCAGTTATAGAACGTTGGTGACACAGATGATGTCAAGGCTGCCAGAAAGAGGAGAAAAACGGAGAACATCTCGTAAATTGTCCTGTACTGGACAGATAACCATTCTTGCAGATAGCATAGCAATGCATGCAGTGTCTAGGCACAGAATGCTTGAGCATATGCGTCTACATTTTAGCACACATACTTCGAGCTGTGCCTCGTGATCCTGGCCGCATGAAAGAGAAAAATCTGACTGGTCGTAAGAGAACATAGAAATTGCAGGCATGTGGCAATTTCTGATTCTGGAAAGTCATGCCGATTCGGCGCCAACCTGGCAGAGACTATCAGCCTCGGATCACGATTGAAAAAGAGGGTGCGCGGCAGTAAATATCGTAAATATCACTGCGTTGAATTGTATTTAGGCAAGAAAAGGAAATGGCTAAGACTTCCAGCTAATTGCAAGTGATGCGAGAAAATGGTGGCACCATTCAACATCCACTATCTGGTCAAGTATTTCCCAGCCTGTGATATAAGAACAATTCGTTTACGCGCGCTAGAGATGTGCGACTCAACTGGTATATATCCTAAGTTGCTATGAAACAACCGGAGATCACAGTAACAGGACTTTGAGACTTCTGCGCTGTCTTTCGCGTTGGGTACATATGAATTTGTTCATATGTGACAACCATACCATACTTGACGCAAACCATCTCTTTCAGCTGCAAAGTCGTTGACTGCTGTTTTCAGCGCTCACGGTATCTTCCATGGCAGCAGGTGATGACTTACCTTTAAATCATTGTGCTTTCGAAGAATAGTACGCGTGTTTCCGGTAGCTTCGCTCTCAAGATCATCGCGGACAATCTGGTGAACATGTGGAATCGAAGGACCGTCAAAAGTGACAGTCGCCTCCCCTTGTCACTCCGCCACAGAAAATACCGCTGTAACATAATTGCGAGCAAGCAAACCTGAGAAAGCTCGTATAAATCAAGGAGGAATTGGCTTGGTTCTCTTTCACGACCAGGAAATACTGAAAGGTTGGCAGTTCAGCTGTCTCGGGACGTACCAATGCAGCTGACAATGAGTTACTCTGAAGTATTACGGGACTCGGTAAATTTGCGTGCTTTTAGAACGTTCACCCCGCAAAACCTTCGCGGGACAATCTATAGTGGACTTGACTTAGAAAGCTCACTCTTCACGGAATCGAGAGGTGAGTCATAAGCCCACGCGGTTTACGACAGCCGCGGGCCAGGAAACGCGACTAACGGCTTCCGTATGGTTTGATGGAAATATGGTCCGTGAACACATTTAGCGTATCTCATTGCCGTACACAACGCCAACACACCTGAATGGACTCAATACATCCCCTAATAGGCTATTTTGTGGCATTGACCGTCCGCTACAAGACTCGGAAACATTATGAGGTGAATGTCCAGAATCTTGTAATGAGCCAGGCGAAAAGGGAAGTCCGAAATGTGAAGTGGTTGATCGATACTATGTCCAAGTTTAGTGTGTTTTCGGTCCGGTTTCCTGGGGTAATTCTTTCTTGTATGAAAGACCATACGCAAAGGTCGCCTTTTCGGCCCCTGTCACCTTGGAAGCTGGCATAGGACTATTCGTCCGTTGTCCGGGATTGAAGACGACGCCAACCGAAGAAACGAAGGTGTTTTTACCCGGCTCCATATAGACACGGGCCAACCTACTGGTACCAAATCAGTCTGTTGTTTGCCAGGGTCACACTGGCAGCAGGGGGGAGGGTCACTTACGTTCAAAGTCTTGAAATATTCATTTCTGCGTAATCACCTATCATCAATGTTTGAATTCGTGGCATCGTATTGAGTTGGTTGACACGATCCCTTTTAGAAAAACAGAACCGGGGCATCAGCATCATGAATCATGATCGATTGATCTAAAATCTTGGGGGCAGAGTGGCTGTTGGACTGACATGATCAATTTGAACAGATGCAGTGGAAGCGAAGAGGCGTAAACACTTCGAAGTTGAACGTTGAACCGTTGACGGGTACCTGCTGGTACCTGGCATTACTACCCCTGCTGGCCAGATTTATTGAGATTCCTTACTGAATGTTTGGAAAAATCTGGTGGTCGAACTTTCACGACCTGGGAATTTTTGGAATCCGAATCCGCCGAGTCCGATTGCAACGACAGTAACGACGTAGCAGGTATCGTCACCCCCCTTGCCGAGTCCCAGCAATTGGAACCGATGGGAATCTGTGGACCAGAACGAGAGCCCAGTAAAATAAGAAACGAGTGAAGAGTACCAAGGCCATGGACCTGGGTCCTTTTGCCCAGCAGATTGGTTTGCCCTCCACCACGTGTTGGTAATTTGCCTAGTTTGTTCGTGTTACGCACAAAAAGGAAGCTGGACAAATATATTTGGTCCCTGCGCAAACAATTTTGTTCTGAATAGACTGCAAAAAAAAAACATCCATCTCTACCACTGACGCCCACGATGACGAACACGATGTCGACGTTGCCACCGCCGTCGCACTATGCGCAGGAGCGGGATCGCTTGTGAGTCCACCCTCCTTTCGATGGACGCGATAGCCAACCGGGTGTCCACTGTACATGATCCGGAGTCCGAGTCCTTGGACTCGGACAGGCGCATGCATATTAACTTTCCGTGTTCGAATGTTATGCTAATTGTACCCTTCCTCCATGCTCCTCAAATATCCTGATGGTCCTCCATATCCCATCGTCTATGATAGAGAATACGACTTGGTTGTACGCCAGGAGCCAAAGCAGGCGCGGATGTGCGGTGTTGGTGGAAAAGGTAAGATTGCTGCTCTCTGCGATGAAGAAAGATCACGCTTAACTACACTGCACAGCTGATAGAAGACCCATCGATCCACCGCCAATTGTTCAGTTGCGTGTCATCGATCCACGGCGACACCAGCAACACGCTTCAGGTTCCGATGGCCGGCCGGCCTCACCAAGTGGCAGTAGTTATGCCCAAAGCTTTCTACAAAATCCTTATTACTTCATGTTCGCAAGTCTGGCGAAGCCTGATGATGATAAAGAATTGCATTGGTTAAAAGCAAGTCGCTTGCCTAGACTAGGATTCGTTAGCTCACCTACCAATAGGATGGCAAGACGCGATGCACAACTGGCTCTGTCGTTTCTTCCCTCTATCACCTCAAGGATCCCCAGCGGAACAACGAAGACGCGGGATTCTTTGTGTTTCCTGACCTTAGCGTCCGAACAGAAGGTAGTTACCGACTCAAGCTGAGTTTGTTCGAAGTCGTAGGGTGAGTCCATATGGTTACCACACCCGGGCGCATCGCTGTTTTACCCGCAGCTGTCTCTAAACATATGTTAACCCCCCTTCCTTCAGGAATAATGTTCGACACTGCAAATCTATATACTCGGCGCCGTTCTATGTCTACACCGCCAAAAAGTTCCCTGGCATGGAGGGTAAGCCATCTTGTTCCCGGTGTGCTCATCGCGTCTCATTTTCTCATCAGAATCTACCCCTTTGTCTTGTTCTTTAGCTGACCAGGGAATCAAAATTCGTATTCGCAAGGACATTCGAGTTCGGAAGCGGCCGACCACGGTGTTGGATACGAGTAGGCAAGAATCCGATCAAGAGGATGACGAAGAAGACGACGCATCCGATGACGGAAGGCGAGGGAAACCATCATCAAAGAAGAGGCAGAAACGGGTCAAGGATGGTGCAGCACCGGCCGGGTACAGCGCGTACCAACAACAACCTCTTGGGCCGCCTCCGCCCCCTTCGTCTCAATGGAACTCGTATCAACCACCCCAGTCCCAGTCAAATATTGATCCTTCTTTGGATGGAGCAAGCAGCGTGTCGATTCCTCCACCTCCTGGAGCAACGTATGCTGTAGCTCCCCCGAGTTCGACTAGCGGTCCAAGCGCTGCACCTCCACCTAGTGCTCAGCATATTCCGCCCACATCAGGTGCTACCCATATCCCACCTCCACCAGGTGCAACCCACCTTCCGTCTCCGGCTACGCACGTTACATCTGCCCCACATGCTGCCCCTCCAACTTCCTCCCCTGTTGCAGTTCCTCAGCCACCAACGGCTACCCATATTTCGCCTACGTCAGGGTCTCATGTCCCACCACCATCCCCTGCAAGCCATGTAACCCCACCGACCCATGAAACCTACGATTCTCGTGCGTACCATCCGCCACCTCCGCCTCCTCATTATGACCATCACTACGCGCCGCCATACGCATATTCGCAACCGCAGCCGTACCAATATTCTGGGAGTTATCAGGGTTGGGGAGGACCGCCGCCGCCGCCTAGCCAGCACCCACCTCCGCCTCATCAGCAAGCGCCACCGCCCCCGCCTCAGTCAGCTCCTCCAGGTGCCTACGATCCCTATGCACATCCTCCACATTATTATCCTCCAAGGTATGAGTATCCGCCTCCGCCTCCGCCGCAGGTTCCGCACCAGTATTATTATGATAGTCCGTACGATCCGAGACAGCACCCTCCTCCGCCTCCGCAATACCAGCACCAACATCAGCATTATTACCCGCCACCTCAGCACAGAGAGTCATGGGGAACCCCAGCAAGTGCAGGCGTCTGGAATGGAAATCCTTCCAATGCCAGCGCAAGTGGCAGCACGGCAGAGTATCCGACCCCGACCAGCGCGACAAGAGAGTACAGTAGCAGTAGGCCAGCGGAATACTCTTCTGTGCCGCCACCGCCATCAGAAGGAAAGATTCAATTAGCACCACTGAGAGGACCAAGCGTCATTCAGTTGAGTGAACGTGAGCGTGGGGAGAGAGCTGGGAGCACTAGCAAAGGCAAGCTAAGCATCGGGAGCATTCTGAGTCGGGAAGGCGGCGCTTGATTGATATTCAAATATTTTTTTGGGTTTATTGTATACGTACTTGGTACCTGCTATCTGTCTTCGCTGTTGTCAATGTATAGTTTTCGAATAGAAGGATGAATTCTTGTTACTTTGCATTGATTAGGCCAGGTCCATCGGTTCTGGGCTATTACTAGGCCATAGGCATTACTTGAGAAGCTGTGACGGCTGCATTTGGTTGTAGGACGCCAAAAGCAGAGCCCAAGAACACAATAATGTATATTGCTCACGAATCGGCTGTTTTGAAATGAACGAAGGTCAGGGATGCTTTGATGCCTGAACGAGATGTGGATGTTGGAGAACCTCCCATTGAATACTGGGTCATGCCAGGGAGTAACGGCATGCCCAATTTTTCTGCGATCCATTACTCTCGTAACCATCTCTCTAGCATTACCCTTGATGTTGCAAGCAAGAAAGTATATCTGATTAAGTGTGGATGATTAGAATCTGTTACGAGTCTAGGGATCCATAGTCTGTGGAGAAGTCGGTTAATAACTGCGTGTCAACAATTTGCTTGAAGGAGATTCGAGGTGCAGCAGCAAAGTGGAGCTTCTGGGATCTCGATTCCAGAGAATGGTAAGTAGCACATCCGGGGGTCGGGTCGGTCCTGCATCGTGTAGATGTCGGAGGATGGAAAACTTTTACTGTTTTCTCACTCGCAGTCTGCTGACATGATTTCTCTCGGGAATTTGAATGGGTGTCGGTATCAGTACCAATATTATCAGTGAGAAAGAAGGAAAAGTGCTCCGGTGATGGACTGTGAATGTCAGGTAAGGAAGACATGAAATAGTTAATGAAATACTGAGATCGAGAGCTTGGAAAAATGGCAAGAAGCTCGGATTTAAACGTTAACGTCACAACTGTTAACGCGGGATTCACTATCCTTCTTTGGCCAAGCTGCATTAAGAACCGTCCTGGTTGCCGTAGCCAACCAAACTTGCGGCATTGACAGACGCGGGAGTAAGCAAAAAGAATCAAGGCTAGTCTCCGAGGCCTTGCGGTCACGTTTTCCTTCGCGAATTCTTTCATCTACTTTTGTGTTTCCAGGATTGAATCTGCTGCCAATGAAATAAACATCTGAATCCTTGAGAAACACGAAATCGGCATGGGATATAACCTATCTTCAATCTTGGAGATGATCCTACGGTTGAGGGATCACATGGACCGCTCCGTCCAAACCTGGCCAATCTTCATCGTCCTCGTTGTCTTCTAGTGAGGAGCATAACCAACATTGATGTATCGACAAGGTCCGGTTTATGTAGAGTCAACCATGCGGGACGGACGCTGTTGCGTTAGTACGGAGTAAAGTGTCAAATTCAAACAAAAAGCCTACAGGGTTTTGGGGGTGCGGGATTTTTTCATTTGGGGTTGCAGATAAGAATCCTCAAAGGGCTCTCATAGAATATAACTGCGAAGATGGCAGCAGACATAATAGCTGTTGGAAGTGGGGATACTGATTCGGGTGTCGTCCTGACGCGTTCAGGTCATATGATATTCACGTGACTGATTTTATATATGGACATTTTCATTACTTACTTCCTCAGTCGTTCACTACTATCAGTCCGATCCCTGAGGAGGATAGGCTAATAAGTCCCAACAATAGGTAGTAAATTGACCTTAAAGATAATTCTCCAGAGTCCCGCTCGGAAGTTGAAAGTACCGGCAGTATTATTTAATTACTAGTTTGATTCTGTGTGAGCGTATATTATTACCGACACCCTAAAAGTCACATACCAATATTATGGTAAAATCATTGAGTGAATGAGTGTGACTCTGTGAGATCAAGAAAAGCCGCCGGAAAGAGAGTGGCGGTCAATTGAAAATGGCTGCGATCACGTGGGTGCAGGACCATTGTTCGGCGAATCCCGAGTCTCGGCTCATCGTTCACGACGACGTCCTCAACGCGTCGAGTATCCTCTGGCCGCGCGCAATGCCACCTGGGACGCCTTATAACTCATTTTTAGTTGAGTACCCTACCATACGCGTCGATGAATTCACGACACCAAAGGACGACCGACGGGCTCAGCTTTACCTGCTCACCCACACCCATTCGGACCATATCGTAGGGCTCCAAGCCAAGGGATTTGCAGAAACGGTCTACTGTTCACACGACTCGAAGGAAATGCTGCTAAGGCATGAAGTGTACAAGGAGCGTGCTCTCTACGGCACCGAGCTACGTGCAGAGAAATTGAGAACCTACGGTCATTTGAAAATCGATCCTCTGGTTGGCGAGGATGGCGAGGTGTACTACCAAGGCTCCAGAGATTTTCTGGTGAGTATATTTATCTGTGGTACTGATCTGGTTGATGTTGGCGAAATCCCCGCAGAAAGTTCTGCCCATTAACAGCCCTGTTGATATTGAGCTTGATGCCGAAAATTCGGTAACTGTTACTGCAATCGATGCAAATCATTGTCCGGGCTCGGTTATGTGAGTTTCCCTTCGTTCATTCCCCTGGATGTGGTATTTATTGCCTGTAGGTATCTCATCGAAGGCACAAAAGGAGCCGTTCTTCACACAGGAGATCTTCGTGCAGAACCCTGGTTTCTGGAATCTCTGAAGCGCAATCCGTTTCTGCAGCCCTATCTTTCAACTTCTTGGGGCAACAGGAGCAGCGTGATTAAGCCCCTAGAGGCAATATATCTCGACACGGCCTGTGTAATGAATATTGAAGAGGTTCCCACCAAAGTACGTGTTTTTTCTAGCTATCGTGGCCTCACTCAACAAAAACAGGAAGATGCCGTGGATGGTCTCGTCGCTCTCATGCAGCTGATACCAGAGTCGACCCACTTTTTTATCAATTCCTGGACTTGGGGCTATGAGGACGCCTTGAAGGCTATCGCTCGTGCATTTGATTCCCGTATCCATATGGACCGGTACAAACATGCTATCTATTCGCATCTGGCAAACGAGCCCCTTCTGCGGTCGATTGGCACGCGTGATGCGGGATCGACCCGTTTCCATGCATGCGAACGATTCGAACGGTGTGAATACGTAGATGTCCCTGCTAATCGTCCCCATGCCACAAGCACCAATGGGAACCTGGTGGTATACATCAACCCTGTGAGCACGATGAACAAGGGGCAATGGTCAGCGTATCAGCATAATACCAGGCTGCGCATCATTGAGCAAGCGGAATCTATAACTTGTCTAGTACGCTTTTAATACCGTCTTCACCCTTCACCGACTGACCATGGCTTGCAGCTAGTCCCTCTCGCTCGTCACTCACCTCTGCCCGAGCTACAGCGATTTGTTTCCCTTTTTCGCCCAAAGACCATCATTCCGAACACCCTTGATCCTTTCCTTCACGGTCTTGACTGGACTGGAATTCGCACCGTCTTCTCCAGCTGTCTTTCTAGCTGCGAGTCTCCGACACCTGCAGTTAATGATGACATACGTCCTCTGAGCGACCTGTCCCATGACGAAGACGGAATTGATGTTGCTCATAAGAACTTGGTGGGGGACCAAGCAGAAGAGACTGCGAACAAATGGGCGGATGGTCGGGGGAAGCGACGGAAATTGGAGGTGCTGAGGTCGTGGCTGGGACTGCCACCTTTGCACATACTGAGCTCTATAAACATGGAAGAAGAATCTCGGGGCTATGATTCCAGCTCCGATGCAGACGATGAGCGAGGCAAGACTGCTCATCGTCTTTTTGCGCATCAAGCGGGAGTCCCGTTGGTGGAGTCCCAGGCCGACTCTTCACCCCTACCTCCGTCATCACCACCAGAACCGATAGCGCGACTCACCCTACCACACCGTTTGCGACTTACCCAGCTTCCTTCTCATAGCACATCCCTGACTGCGGTCAAGTATGTACTCGATCCGTCTCCGTTGTCTGCAGAACGGCCAGCCAAAAGGCCAAAACTCGAGAAACCGAAAGCCCAATCACCTATACCTCGGCGTCCAACGTCGCCTCCAATAGCGTCATCCTCTCGTTTACCTCCTTCAAGGCCCATTTACACCTTCCGCGGAAGGAAGGCTGCACTGGATGATCCTTCTGATAATGATTCGGATGATTCAGCAGATGAACGTGGACGGACGGCTCATTTGCTGTTTGGAGGAGGTAATATGAAATGGGACGACGACGACGATGATTGTGAACCATCTCAGCGTGAACCTCAAGAAGAGACCGAAAAGCCTTTGCCTGAGATTCAAAATGCCTTGCAAGGCCAAGGTAAAGATCCTCCCAAAACCCAGACAACGGCGAAACCTTATGTGCATTCAATTGATCCCATCACTCCCGTTAAACGACCCTTGGTGGCGTCGTCCATTTCTCAGAAACCTCCAAAGCAACGATCAAGGCGATGTCCAAGCCCTACCGAAGAAGTACTAGAGTCTCCTCAATCGCCTGTGTCGTCCTCCATCAACATGTTCATCAATTCAGCTCCTCCAAGATCACCAACAAAGACTAAACAACTTCCGAACAACGTCAAAATCACTTCTGATGGTACCTCTTTTCTGAAGTCGCGAAAATCATCAATGCGACACGCGGATGAGGTTATGGCATCGGTGTCATCTCCGCACCTCCCAACAAGCGCTAAGAAATTCCCACCGTTGGATAGTCCTGTCAAGAGACGACGTACAACGCCTTTTTTCAAAACTTCAACACCAGTTGCTGCTCAGCTGGCCGAACGTATACAACTCGCTGAGAAAATCTCAAAGTCGAACTCAGAACTAGTATCACCGGCGTACCCAGGGAGAAAGCTGAAACTCAAGAATCGTCATTTGCGGATGGTTGGGAAGGAGCAACTTCAAGAGTGGCACGCTCAGCGATGGAGGGAGTACGATGAAAAGCTGAGAGAACTCGCAGAGAGTGAAGTGGTGCAACAGCTAGACCACGATAGGATTGAGAGGATAAAGAGGCGCATCCAGGATGCGCTGAAGAAGAACGAGAGGGTGTCAATGGCACTCCCAATACTTATGTGTACGGCAACAGAAAGTCAGCTGGAGGACATGGATCCTCGATACATGTTCTGAGCGGCCTGTTGCCGGCTTAATTGTAACAGGTGATTGAGACGTGGATACATTATTGTTAATACAGAACCGTTATATTTACGTCTAGTGCGTGATTCGAGTGAAGTCGAACAGGCGATGATGAATTTCCTATCCTTACACCTGAGCGGCTACATACTGTTGGTCGTCAAATTGCCGACTTTCACATCGCTTCCATCCATCGTCGCAGTAGAAAGCGCCTCAGTCTACCATATACTGCCTTTACGCCATCCAAACTCCACCTTTGTAGCTTTCACGATAGAGAATGACCCTTTACCCCATACCCGTAGCTCCAGAGTCGGGACGTGATAAAATTTCACCAAGCTTGAACCTGCTGTCTTTCAGTAAGTGAAATGGAAGGTCTGTACGTACCGTACCTTGTTGCGTAACGTATTAGTATGGAGCAATTGGTATCAGCTCCAGCGGAGGATGGCCTGTAAATCTTAACAACCCCGTGTGTAGGAAGACGAGCTACTTACATCTTGTTGCTATTCAAGCATCTTGACCAGCAACTGGCGCCTGATGCCCATTGGATAAGTGTCGTAGTACAGACAAAAAGCTAGGTATGATGATCAGCAATATATTTATTGTGAAAGGCACCAACTTTACGTGGCCATGTCTATCAAAAAAAGGTCCGCATATCGAGACTCCGAAATATCAATGGGTTTTTCAGGCAATCCAGGCATGTTGTGTCAAACATTTCGCCACAGAAATACAGCAGGTTCTCTGCAGAAGAATGGTTTCCGTAGATATTTGTTTGTGCATAGTATTTGAAGGACATTCCAAGAATCCAAGTTAGAGAAGAGGATATATTGAGTGTTCATAGGGTAAGAACAGACACTATGATGCGTACCACGAAGAGAACGCTCGAAGGCATACTGTGGTCTGTCAGCGGGAACACATTTCCGTTGGTTCTTGGTCGCTTTGAACTCCTTTCGGAGGTACACGAGGTGACAAGTGCACTTTTTACCCCGAGCGGATATTACTAGTGAAGTCTGAGAAGAAATATCAGTACGGTCAGTTTGACTGGGAAGTAGAGATCCGAAGCATACTCAAGCATTTACATGCTCATCGAATGTCTGCTCCGGTAGAGAGAAGAAAGGCAACAAGCTTGTGTTGTCAATGAAACAGAACATTCTGGCATATATTCACAGTCTGAAAGAAAGCATATATTTGTATCCGATCTCTGTGTTAGGAATGTCAAGAACACTACTAGCATGAGGCAATGAGACAAAGGCTCCGGTATCGGAGAAACTGATGAGATCCTCTTTGTTGTTACTCGCGGCCGGCATGAAAGTTGGAAAATTCCCTCATCCCAGGAGCGAACTCCGAAAGGTTTCGGCTAAGGGAAGGATTGCGATACCGTACTGATAATTACCGCTCGATCATTAGGTGACCAAAGTGAAAAATGCGAAGAAGCAAATGTGTTGGAAACCCTCGGTGTTGCGCAGGGTAGACTCCAGGCTGGTAAGGCCAGATAGTATGAACTTCTTATTCTACAGCTCCTATAGAGCTTGTATTTATACTCTCCAGGCTTATATCTAGAATTTACTACAACTTTTTCTTTCTCTCGAGCTTACTCATCAACTCTCGGCATGATGCCGGATTGCCTTTCTAGAACTTTCCAGCAAAATCCCAACAAAATGGGTCCAAAGGCCCACGGAAGGAGGGATATGCTGAGATATTTAAGCCCTTTACCCCAGCGGAAATCTTTAGTGTCCAGATAATTTTTCATAACGTGGCAGAAAAGATATTAAAAAAAATGAGTCCGGCGGCCCGGATTGGATGAGCGTTGATACCCAAGTCTGGTCCGACGGCAAGTGCGCTTCCTTCCTACCATCACTACCTGAGTACCCTCGCAACCTCCGTGGATTCCTCCTTTTCTGGGACTTCAACTCCCCCAAGTGGTGAGACTGGTCAGATATTTGCTGTAGGGCTCGTATATCTGCGTCGGATGTAGTGTTCCCTTCGAAATGTCAACTCGGCGGACTCAAAAACGACGGAAGACTTCAGCGTCCACATATATTCACCTGCCTTGGCAGAATCAATTCATGAAGGAAGGAGAAGTATCCTTGCTTTCGATTTTGGCCGATTTCAATGATTACTTGGACGAATACGCCCTGCGGACTCCTTCAACTGCATCTGGCATCATGACCGCTACAAACTATCTCAGACTCTGTTTGCATCTCCAGCGCACGCCTTCTTCGGGGTTTGAATTTTTCCTAGATCCTAGTTTGCAGGATCGATATCTCACTTATTCTTCCGACGTCGACGTCCTTTTGTACAAAGGAATCTGTGTTGCATCACAGGACGATATCCTCTATATTCTTTCTCATCCTATCTCGAAGAAGAGAGATCCTGCACTTACGCTGCATGCCAAGATTCAAATGGAATACTTTTTCATTCCGTATCAAGTTGTGGCTGAATATTTCAGAAGAGTTTCTCGGTCAGGCTGAAATGTCGGACCGGCGAAGAAAAAAGGGAGGGGTTCGTTCAAAGACTCAGAGAAGTAAAACCACCCTCTTTCTAGCAATGGCGTAGCTAAGCCTTCTTCCTTTACTACCTTGTCTCTTTCAAACCTTCCTCTTCCATTTGCATCTTTGCCTGTCAATGTTACCGAATCTCAGTCACCTTCGAAGGACAGTCATCAAAATAGATCTGGGGTGATCGGATATCTACACCAGCCACAGGATGTAGTTCAGACCAAGTCTCTAGACGGTAAGGTTTCAAACTTGCGTTCCATGGCATTTCCATCCGAAAAAAATGATCAATAGTTTGTCATTTGATCTATCAGGAAATCGAAGACGACCTAGCAGAACGCCACATCGGATGGCGTGCTGATACCTGTTTCTTATCAGCGAATGGAACGCAGGATAACTGTCGCACCGAACAAAATGTTATCTTTACTTGGACACGCCTTGTACCATCCCACGCTGGATCATCAGACCTCCCCCAACCTCTGCATTCATTCTCTCACCAATGTCCTGTTTCACGTATTGTGTTGAGTACGAAAGAGAGGGATTCTTGGAAGAGCGCCGTCTTAAGGGACGCGTATACTACCGGAATCGAAAGTTTAGACACGAGGCGCGATGCAACCCTCAGGAGATGAACGCTTTAAAGAGAAGATGAGAAAGCGTGCTGGAGAGAAGCACACTGAAGAGCTGAGAAGGCGTTTAGAAGAGAAGTTGAGAAGGCGTGTTGAAGAACAGAAGGGGAGACGCGCTGAAGAAGAAAACGCTCGAAGGCGGCAGCAGACATCTGAAGAGACGCATAAAAGAGCTGAAGGGAAGAAGCAGGAGAAGGAGAAGGAGCGAGACCAGGGCTCCCAGGTGATTGAGAAGCGATACAAGGCGAACGATGAAGAATGGTCCAAGTTGAAGGGCCAGACAAAAGGAAGCTTGTGCTTCAGCGACATTCCTTGGCCCACGGTATTCGAAGCCACTCATCCAGCAGCCGTCACACCCCTGGCCGTGCGATCCCTCTTCACAAATCCCAAGCACGTCGCGGAAAAGCATTGGCTATCGCCCAAAAAAGCGGTTTCATATGGAGCTCTTGAGGTGGCACACTGACAAGTTCAGCCAAGTGGTGAAATGCGTGGCAGAGGGGGATCTCCGAGATGTGCACAACGCTGCAGAGGTGGTAATCAGGGTGTTGAATGAACTGACGGCGAGTCAGTAGTGGGTATAGCTGTAGATCGTTTCTTGTCCATTGTTCTCGGTAGATCTTAGTACTTGGAAATAACATCACTTATGGTGCTAATGCCTTGTACGATAACTGGTAACGTTGATCGATGTCGGTAATGCCCCATCATTAGATTCTGGATATTTGTTGAATTCAGAAATCCTGCTGAACTGAAGGATGCCGGGGAGGAAGGCTTATCAGAGGATGCTGGGGAAAGAGACGAGAGGAAGGAGATGGAAGCCACAATGGCAGACTCTCTGTAGGATAAGAAGGAGAGAAGATAATCCGAGGCGACAGGAATGTTCGGCATTCTTGGCGTGAAGCCAAGTAGTCGGCAACTAATTTGGTAGCAGGGTAATACTATTTCAACATTGGAAAGCGGCTGAAGACTCGGTTTGACGGCTTTGTAGTGCCGGACTCTCTGAATATAAGTTAGGAGGTCCTTGGGTGTCCTTCCTCCAACATCCACGTCCGTAAGTCCCATCCTTGTCAATGAGAAAGTAGGTATACCGAGAATTTTCACAGTTCCTTAACATGAAACCGACGACAAATGCAGAGCGAAAAGAATGAAGGACCACTATGAACCAGCGCCTAATTCCCTCGTCGGCCTTCCTACTGAACTCCTCGTGATCATCGTTAGCAACTTCGTAACCAGAAAGGACATCTTCTCGCTTGCTCGAGTCTGTCGGAGACTTAAAGACGTTGCCATGGCACGCTGGTTGTGTTCCCCAACGAATGAATATATAAGACAATACAGCATATTCTGTAGCCCGATTTCCGGCTATGTGCCACTGGGGGGTTTCATGCCGTTTTCCTCCTTCGCAGACCTACGCCTATGGCTCGTGATAAAATCTTATATCCCGTCGATGACCCTGGCATTTAGTACGGACTGATAAAGAGTACCAGGAATTCTCTCGATACGTCGATACCATTCCCAGCGACCAAAAGCACCCAGTACTTCATATCAGGTTACATATCTCACTCCCCCATAAATACTTGGGCATTCAATGCCTTCTGCACTCGGCTCGCAGAATACGACAGTGTCGTATCTTTCACAGTGATCCAAAACGAAGACCACCGCGGCGCCAAGTACGTGGTGTTGGATTAGCAAGCAGGAACTCCGTCGTATCCCGCCGGCCGAGCTCGATACCCCTTTATGTCGGGATGGACAATATATACTGAATGCGGACCGTCGAGCACCCTCACCGCGTTTCTGCTTATCGCTACGCTGTGTGAGGGTGAGTATCTACTTATGTTACTTCGTTTATGTTACTGATTGGTATCCTATAGTCTACACTATAGCTAACAGTGTACTCTATTAGGTACTACGAACGCGCGTCACTTTCTTAAACGTGGATGCGAAGGGCCCAAACCGCCAACATATCTTCCACCCACCACCATTCACAGCCCCCACCGAGTTGCGTCTCGAGGATATATCTAAGCGGTTCGACGATTGGCTGCTACGCTCAGCAGCTGCTTCTCCTATCCACACGTTGACTATTGACCACAGTGATATGCCATTCGCTCGTCTCCGTCTTCTTACAATTCGTAAACTGATTTTGGGTAGGCGGACTATGACAACATCCCAATTGGTTCAGCTCGTCTCAGATGAAGCGCATTCCTCACTCAGCGAGCTCATGTTCCTGCCGAAGGCAGAGCCGTACTGGGAGATACCTGTGAGAGGACGATTGATCCCTCTTAGTGCAAACGCGATGCCCGGCATTACTAGTCTCACCGCCGATTTCAAAGTCTTAATCAAGCTGCTCGTTCCACCGAAAGCATTTCCGAAATTGGAACGCGTGGAGGTGTACAGCATAGGTAGCCACAACTCCAGTGCAGCAAAGGATGCTGAAGAGCTTCTATCAAGAACATCGTCGTTTCCCAGCGTGCATTGCGTCACCTTTCCCGTTGGTGCATTAGAACCGGAAGACTGGGATGATCTCAGCGATAGCGGGATTGTCTTACTAAATGTGACGAAGGTGATAGAGCGCAGTCCTCGCAGTACTTCGTTTCATTCAGTGATGATATCTCAAGCCGGAAAGGTTTTCCCAAATATTGTTGGTATCGACGCTTGATAGGAGTAATCGTTAATGTGATACATAAACCGGGATTTTCGAGTTTGCGAATGACCACTACGACGTTCTACAGAGACAGGGGTCGAAACATCGAGAAATTGAATCCCAATAATCAGACGACAAGAGATTCCGTGCTATGACCGTCGTTCAAAGGGAAAAAATGTTGTTGGCCTACCTTGGGATGGTTGGCCAGTCGTCGCTACTCTACCGAGGCCGGCCTTCGTGTGACGTCGTTGCTGTAGGTCCATGTGTACTTCTCGGTCTAGGCCAAGTCCCAGGTAACTGTGCTGCGCACCTGACGTCCCGCCTCAAGGAGACAAGACCCATAATCTTGCACAGGTTTTAGGAACGACGACGTTGCTCAGTGAGCTAAGATTTTAAGTCTGTTACGTTCCCGTGGCCGTTCTCTTTCTACGGGTCGGCATGATGATGATATGTATTCGATATCGAATTAATTACGGGGTAGTGATGCAGAGTCCGGTTAGCGTCAGCCAGGGGGTACGGATGCAAATCCTTTTGAATGGCTTCGATGTCACCAATATTAATTTCTTGATGAAATCTGTATTTCGGTGCTGAGGAGAAATGGGTTGGTTAGTGAGGTGAAATACATAAAATTGGGACCTATGAGCATCGATGACTAGACCAGGAAAGAGTCCACTGTAGATATTCTGGTATCCAAGCCAAATTAAAAGGCGTCGTGGCTAAAAACGGCAACCTGGGCAAGGTGCCATGGCAACCATAGCAACGACATGACATCCAAACAGGCACAAATGCAAACGTCTCTTTGCTACCATTTACCACCATTCGCCACCCACCGAGGACAACGACCGGGACGACAAAGGCCCTGGGAGCTGCATAACGAGCATCGGTGACGAGCAGTGTGTGTACAGCACTAAGCCATTCATCGCGCAGTTACGTCGGGGATCGCATCTTGCCATGGCATCTGCAGTTCTTCCGGAACCAAAAGGTGAGTTTCCTTCTTGAAAAGGGCAGCGAGAGAGGCCGAATATCGAGGAATCATGGATTGCCGGCGCCGCAGGGCTATATATGTAGTGGGAGAACGGTATTGCCAGGGGCTGCATCACGAAGCCGGCAGCGTTGATGCCATCTGTCTCTTATTGTCTGTATCTTCATCGTACGTTGCTGATTCACTTTCCCAGGCGAGCGCCCAGTATCACTCTCTGTTGACGGTCGCCCCTCGTCGTCGCCATTTCCATCGCCAGGCTCACCCTTCCTGCCGCCCCCAATGCCCAGTGTCCATGAATTTGCCATACCAAGTTCAAAAAACAAGCCAAAATCTCAGGAAAGATACACACTTCCATCAGACACCATGCCAGCCTCGCCAGTCTGTGTTTTTTCCCCAATAACGCCGACACCGCCGGCGGCACCTGAGCCGTCGGTAACGACACCAACGACGCCCATGCCGGTTATACCACCAAAAGCGAGCCGGAATTCAGTATCTTCACTTGCGTCGAATCGACCAGCTCCTCCCTCACCGGCGATGTCTCGCCGTGCCTCAGGTGCACCCTCGTCAAGTGGCATTTCATTGTCCCGGGCTAACTCCACACGGACGCAGTCTATCGCGTTGTCCGTGACTTCTGTGACCTCCTCTTCAAAGAAGCGCGTCGTTGCTGAGATCTGTATACGTGATTTTGGGTATCCTGCGACAGACGAACGGCACCGGGGGCTAGGGCCAGACGTACCCAAGCCTAATCGACCGGCTGTCATCAACCGTCTAGAAGCAGACAGCGACAAGGAGGAAGACAAAGATGAAGACGACGAAGGGGACGAAGGCTGGTCGCGTTTCAGATGGGGTATTGGTCGGCTCAGCTGGAATTTCGGTGCTAGCCATCCTTCGTCGTCATCGTCGCCTTCTGCGGGTGGGTCTGGAGGCGATGGGTTTCCGAGCAAATCGGATCTGGAACGGAATTTTGTCGAGGCCGATGATGATGATGACCACGAGGATGAAGACGAGTTTTACGACGTCGAAGAAGAAGAAAGTGTAGATGAGCCGTTGCTACCAGGTTTATATAAGGCGCTGTATGCCTTTGAGCCGGAGGGTACTGCGGAGATGGCGCTGGAGGAAGACCAGATCGTCAGGGTGGTAGGTCGAGGAGGGGGAGTAGGTTGGGCCGTTGTCGTCGTGGATAAAGAGAAGAACAAGGCTATGCAGCAACAGCATGCCTTGGTTCCGGAGAGTTATCTGGAGTTGGTCCAGCTAGACGAGAATCGTTAGCCGGCGTCCTCATCCGCATTGTAGCGTGCAGGCGCGCGTGTACATCCGTCCTCACCAACTGCCTGTTTCATTTTCTGTTGCATTACTGATTTCTTTTGTTTCAAACATTATCCTGTAAAGCGTAGGTACCATATGGATCATGGGACAATAGTAGCTTACATTACTTTGCTTTAACAGAGCAAGCAACCTAAGTCGGATAACGTACATGTATCTTCTATTCTCTTCAATCACCGTGGAAAACCTGGGGAATCAAACATATGGATAAGCTGATGGACAAAATGTTCAAATGGAGGGCTACCATGACGGGTACTCGTCTTGAGCATCATTTGCTTATGGGGAATTTCAGTGACCAATCACCAGAAGGACACTGTCTTGCAATCTCGAGCGTCCTCGTTTCAAATCTGGAGTCAAGCTTGTCTATAATACTTCAAGGGAAGAGCCGCGTTGATGGATACGGTTGCCCGACTTGACTAAAGATAAGGTATTTAGCATACGACTAATCCCACGACCTTGAGAAAAGGAACCTGCAACAAGTGCGACGCGAACACGGCTCGACAGGTTGCCTTGATCAGCCGCAATGATATTGAACACGGCCAGGATTGTAATGTCCTGCGCACCCGGAATTAGATACGTCAACCAGATCCGAAGCCTCGTTGGGGTGATAGATACTTGGATTTATATCGGTCTTGAGGAGTGAATTTTTCCAAGTACTAGGGGATATATCAATGGTGAGGGCGGGGGCTTGGGAGGGGGAGGGGAGGGAAAGAAATATACCAGACGTTTCCGACGATTATAGAACTCCTGAGGATGTGATGCTAGATTGTTCCGTTGTGACATTTCACTGACGTAGAAAATCCGGGGTTTTGCGTGTAGCAAAGCGACGAAGACACCTCAAGTAATGATTGCTTGTGCATAATCATTAAATAATTCGACGATCCGAATGCAGAAGAAAGACCTGATTCGAGAGTAGGTACGGAATGGCGACCAGGAGGGGATCTATAAATCTTGTGCTGCCAATAAGTACAGGAGTTTTAGTACCCCGGCATCTACAAGCAAAAGCAGAAGTGTAGATTAGGTCTATCAAAACGAGTGAAGGACACGCTGTTCCAAAGGAATGACCAACAGGAAACTTACGCTGATTTGTATAGAAAAGCCAAGGTACACTCTTCCAAAGGCTACTTGACATTTGGATTGTCGGCGTCGATTTCAACAAGAAAGCAGCTTCACCCACTTGCCCTCAAGCGCGGGCCGTCGGGTCCGATCGAAATTGGTCAATTTTTTGAAGACTATTCATTCCCCTCATGACTCCGACGTCGACTGCCACTTTGCAACATTTTCATGAACGCTGGTGGGGAAACAACAACCTTCTCAGTGCCAACACAGTCATACACCTTCCAGCATTCTCAGACCTCCATATTTTTGCTTTTTCTGGCTCCTGACTATTGGTTCGCAAGTAAAATATCTAGCTCTTCGAGCAGCTGCAGCGCCTTATACTCGGAACGTTGTTCCAGATGGTCATTCAGGCATCGGAAAGTCTGTTTTCCTCTTCTACCTCTCATATGATGTCTGCAAGAGTCCCGGGATATTGTGTTCTACTTCTTTGGTCGAACCCTTCTGTTCGAAAGATGGCGTCCGGGTGATAGACCTCACGCATTATCCGCTACAGCTCATCAGGCACGGGTATCTCTTCCCTACACTCGCTTCATCACGGTCAGAAGAGCTGTATTCCAGTTGGGCCAAAAGGAGGTATGCTTCTCGGTTCGTTATGAATCCTTGGAGCGACGAGGAAATTTCTATAGGGTGTGCTTCCTGCTCATCGTCCCTGTATTCTATTTCTCAACATCTTAGATAGGGCCGAGCTTTTGAGTTGCGATGCCACGCTCGTCCTGTATGTCCTGTGTCGATCGCTATTATCACAAGTATTGAACTTTTGTGGGTTTATCATAAGGGACGTTTATAGTCGTCTCTTATCCCAGGGATCGATTACTATTATAGACCGTATCTATGGTCCTCATCCACGCGTTTCTAGTCCCGCTTCCAAGTACTCACCACTTTTCACTGCTTACATGGGACAATTTTGATATACCTTATTCTGCGGCTCTAATGTTTCGTCAACCGACTCCAACTGATGGACCGGGGTGGGACGACATGTATCTCGACTTCCGCTCCCCTTGTCTTACATAAAAAGTGTGGGATCAACTTGTTCATCTTGAGTACGAAGATGCGCGGCCTGCTACTCTCTTTTCAGCCATAAACCTGCTCGAACTGTCGCTAGCCGATGGCTTTTTCAAGTCATTGCTCGCAAGCACATATGCCGGGAAACGACGCAATCCAAACGTTTGGCTCCTCTTCGGGAAATGAGTCTGGTCGAGGGGACAGAGACCCTTATCAACCCTGAGATTCGTAGTAATCACTATCTTCCTATCAGTGGCGCCAAAGGACTCTTTGTGACACAACTTCCTTCTACATTCCTCGCGAGGTCACTAAAGACTTCTTGTTTAATGGATTATTCTTTGACCATGGCTCGTCGCCCGATTCTTCAGGACCGAACAGGGCGATCTCAGATCCAACAGTCCTGCATATTTTGCGGACAACGACCTGAGAAGCTGAGAACGAAGGCTATGGACTAGAAATCGATATGATCCGTGAAATCCTCTGTCGTCATCCAGATCCCGTGCCTATCTTCATCTACCTCTTGGTAGTACCCCTCTGAGGAACAATGTCAGTCAAGTTGGTCTCAACCGTCAACGTCATATATCAACATTTATGATCTTAGATAGCGAGGGCAATTCAGATAGATGACCAGTTTTATGGAGGCTATATCGATCCGGATAATCTCAATGTCACTAACTATATCCAACTGGACGGGACACCTGAGACGACGAATAAGGGTTACATTTGTTGTTCTAGTGGAAGTTGTGCAGAGTTATTTATCCAATCTATGCTAGCGGAGCAAAAAGAAAATCGACAAATAAGAGCTAAGAACAAAATAATTTCGTTCAGTCCATTCAATCGGCTTTATAGTCGCTAGCTTTGAGGGCATTCTTCGCGTCTTCCATTGTGATGTAGTACGCTCTGTCACCTCCAGAAGCCTCGATCTAATTTCCTCGTGTCAACGCCAAGGTCATACGAACTACGGTTGCTACGCACCGAGGATTCCCCGTTTCCCAAGAAAGAGAAGCGGTTTTGATACAAGGGAACAAACTTCCAGTCTTCCCACCTGGGAGACGCCAGTGTTTCCATAAATTGGAGAGCTGAAGAGCATCGTTGGTCAACAATGTAAAATTTTATTGATATCATGCCAAACGTACTGCTTCCCGCGTACAGTGCGTCCGGTTCACCATCAACTTTGCCACCCTTATACCAGGAAGCGCAGGGGTCGGACTGTAAAATGGGTCGTTAAAAGTCAAGATTAACGAAGGAAATCTATACCCATATAAGATCCTTCATAAGGGCTGCAGATGTTGATCAATCATTATCAACAGTGCGAATAAGTCCAAGCAAAAAAAACATACACTCTTGTTGAATGTTATATTCCTCCTGTACATCACGGTCAACTTCCATGGACTTCAAGTCCTGCTTCTGCAGCTTAGACCTTGTTTATAATCAGTATGATCTATCCATCGGTCGATTCTGAACATACAAGCATGCCACGACGTAGTCCGCTTGTGCTTCTACACAGGTTAAGAATGGCCCATTAGCGTATGTGATACCGGGCCCACAACCTATGAAGAACATATTGGGGAATCCCGCAACCGCTATTGACAAGTAGGCTGCCATATTGTGTGCATTTAATGAATATTACCTTGAAGACAAAGATAGGAGACCCAAACCTTTCGGTCTCTGAGACCAGGCATCTCTCAGGTCGATGCCGTCTTTTCCTCGGAGCCGGTATCTTGGCTTGAAACTCGTATCGAACCCAGTCGCGAGAATAAGACGGTCCACCGGACGCTCAACGCCTTTTTCAGTGACAATACCGTTCGGAGTGATTTTTTTGATGGGATCGTTTATAAAAGTAACGTTCGGAAGTTTCAGCCTAGGAAGAGGAGGTCAATGGTATGCATGTCACCTTCGGAGAAATACCCTACGCTTCAAAGAAAGCGGCACCAGGTGTGGCTCTGCGACACTGGGAGAAAGCCTCAGGTACAACAGGTAGCCAACAAGTATAATTTGCATACCCCAACGCCGTGACTGTTCCAAAAGTGAAGTAAGTGATCAGCTAGAAGGAGGAGCAAATAAGAGTGCTTACTCTGATGGTATTAACTTCTGAAGAAGATCATCACGCCCCAAACACGACTTCATGTGCTCAAGGGTGATCCGCCTGATGTCCTGTCAACGCTCAATTAAATCAGCGAGACTAAGATTATGCGTACAATTTTTACCATTTGTCCCACAGAATCTCTTCGCAGAAAATCTGGAGATGTTGGCTTAGCGAGTTTCCTTTGATTTAGTAGACGCGACGGTGACCACGAACCGTACAAAGTGTTTATTGAGGAAGAAATTTCCTTGAGATGCTTGTACAGTGTCTCTGGCCTCTCGATAAATAGAGTACGTTCTTCTTCTGAATCTATGCGAAGTTAATATCAACAGCTGAACCTCAGAAGAGCTCAATGCTTACAGGAGAAGTTCTCGTTCTTCCATTTACGTTCTTTCAGTGTGTCAACCGCGCCGACGGGGGGGATTATCTAGCGTCTGGTGAGTATCGAGCTTCAAGGTATGGATAACGAATGAAAACACCCAAAATTTCGTTCTGGCATAAACGTCCAAAGTCTTGCAATGAGGCGCAATGGTTCCGATTGTTTGCAGACCAGAGCAACCGACGCCAATCACAGCACTGATAGACTTCTCTGCACAATGCTTTTCGATAAAGCAGGAATAGAGAGGACGCACATGTGTTCATCCTTGAAGGCGCTCTTCTAGTCGAAATCGACGGGCCATTCAGCGGTGTGCAGAACTGGTGTCTTGGTAAACGACTCCAAACCGGGAATAAATGGTCGATTTACGTTACTAGAAAGAGTTCAAGGTCTGATATGCGAAGGGAGTGACAATTGACTTACCTCAAGACACCCGTTGCTGGTGCAAAGATATCATAGGTCTCCGTGCGCATTTGCAATGTTTCCAAGTTCTGCACCGTTACGTCCCACGCACCCGAGGCTGCGTCATAAACCGCTGCTGTAACTTTGCGTCGAAGGCGGATATGAGAAACAATGTGAAATTTTTCGGCAAATATTTTGAAATATTTCTTGATATCCTCGGCATAAGAATAAAATCTTGAAAAAAATCAAAACATGTGATATGAAAGAAAGCCTGACTCTTACTGGGGCCAGTCGGCGTAGGGTGCGAATGAGAATTGATAAGTAGCACTTGGAAGGTCACCTTCAGAATCCTTGGCGTCAGCATCTGAGGCACTTGTGGATGAATAAGTAACAAGCGTACATCGACAGCCGGGATACCTGTTCGCATGCCTGTTCCGCATAATGATGAGGTATGAGATTGGGCGAGCATACTAATTTCCTCACCATGTCCCTGTGTAATCTATATAATCTTTACTAAATGAAAAATATTTTCTTCTTAAACAAGTACTCACCATCATCTTTCTCGAACAAGATAAATTCGATAGGCCCAAGTATATCCTTCTTCTGCGCTTCCAGAATCTTATACGCAAGACAGAGTCCGGCTGCCCCTGCACCGCATCTGTCATGCATGATATTAGACTCTTTAGCGATAGCGATTGGGAGCACTCACATAGCAAGGCGCAGAGGCCGCGGCTGAAAGCCTGGATAGCAGATATCGGCTACGCACTACTGCAAATACAATTGGAGGTACTTACCAGATTTCCTAAGATAGTTCCAGTCGCTCGAGCTTGATGTCTTCGCGCCTAGGAGAAGGCTCTTTTTAACGTCAGTTTCGGGGTTGAGAAAATGAAGCACGGGAAAAACAGATTGGTGCTCAAATGGCACTGGCGAAGAGGAGAAGGCGCCCTTATATGTACCTGTGCTAGAGGGTCACCGGACGAGGAAGAATGGATCAAGGATATACGGGTCCACCGGTACAATTACACATGCAAAGACTCGGAGAAGGACTGGTGCATACAGCATATGACGCTTTGAGTCTTTGCCAGGCAAATGTAGGTACCATACACTCGCTTGACATATTCTCCAAGGAGCATATCTCTGTCAGTCGAATCTCGGTGACTGCTTGCCACCATAGGCCCCGGCTCAGACGCCTATGCGGCAATCGATACTGGCACAACCATAGTTGCGGGTACCCGTGAGTACGGTGGAAACGGAAAAAGCTAAGCAGGATTTCCAGCTTATCGGAGGTGATATTCTTAGATACAAATATTGCCAATCTGAGCGTCGTCGGTTGACTAGCACGTCATCTTTCGGGGTATCATTTTATCCTCCTTCATACTATCACTACGGTCAACCCACATCTTCGGGATGCGAGGTCCATGCCATAGCAACTCTACCCACCTCATGAATGTTCAGGCCTCACTGGGACCCACCGCACTATGTGCTGCTGGGGTGCACAACAATTCTCACTCATTTCTCTCTACACCGGGCTCACCTTCGCATCGTGTTTACTGGTGATAATTATGTCCTGCGGCTCCTCCGACCGTCACGATCTTCAGCATCTATGCCGCACTATGGTCGAATGGTTCCATCGTGACCTTCTCTTCCATGGCAACACCCAAGATACACGGCTTAATCGTGGTCCTCTCACCTGTGACCACACCCGGCGTCCATTACCCTCTACCAGCCACCTTATCTAGCTGTTCATGGCATTGGAAACCAACTTCAGGACATCGCTCCTTCCCTCCGGACTCTTACTAGCTCCCTACCTCTCATCCTTATCTCCTTTATTCGACGACCTATTACCTTTCGGTTATCATTTAAACCTCACCTCTGCTTTACACCTTTCCGGTTGGCTTTGCTCATGCCCAGCTATCGCGGAGTCTTATCGGAGACTTATAGATATCACATTTAACAGAATTTCTTATTAACACTGGCGCAGCTCTAGCAACATCATGAGTCATGCACCGATGGGCTTAAATACCATCTCGAGCTTCTGCACCGGTTGCCTCAGGTGGCGTTGCACCGGCGACGTCGCGAGTTCCGCATATCCGTGAGCTCGAACGTTATCATCTCAAGGTTCTGCACCTGTGTCGTATATGTTTTCTTGTAATCTCTCCCAACTTGGACATCATCACGGTCTACATTGGTTCATAATCACCTAGGCTTGAACGTCAAATGGTCGATTTGCTTACTATGAACTTGGTGCGTCAACGATCTTTGGCTTTGCGAACGGCCATTCAAACTTGTTTAGGGTTGCAGGATCTGTTGGAGATGTCGCGTCTTTTCCAGATAATAGAAGGTTCAAGTCTGTAGGAGCCAGAGACTGGCTTTACCAGCCCCTAGTCTACCCACTGCGTACCCTCAGATTCCAAGAGGATCTGAAGAGGAGTTGGATGTCCATTGACGATCACAAGATCTACTATCCGGTTTACACTTTGGACGAGAATGGACTTGGTGCTGCCGACAACCACCACGAAATGTCAACGTATTTTCGACCGAAAGTAACCTGCCTATCGTTAACGAGATAACATGGTCTTGTCCCGCCATTAAACTGAATGCAGACTAGTTATCGTTGGATTCGAAGATAACAAGATTATTGTGAATGCGAATTTACACTAAGATTTGTGCACTACACATCGTCTCCGAGCCTTTGATTCAACTTTGCCCTTTCCCTACCAATTATAGTCATTGGTTTGCAAGCTAGGGTATGAAGTACAGGTTGGTATACAGACTATTGATATAAATTAGCATGGAAATGAATTACGCTTCCCAAACGGCGGGTAAGGGCCATTTCTCTTCGAAAAATCTATGTAATATATCGTTTACCTCAACTACACTCGATGGGCTCTCCAAGTCATCATTGATACATACCAGTCTCAAATCTGCGTTATCTTTGAGACTCTTAAGCTGGCTACGCGCAGATCCCACAGTCGTTATTGACGCGAATCTTGTTCCGAGCTCTCCTACATGAGTGTTTGTTAAAGGGTTCAATATTTTCTTTAGCTGATGCCGACTCACCGACAACATAACGATATCGCTGTATCACCATCATTGTCCATTCCCTGACATTCACAGCTGCTCCGCGTCCTCGGCGAATAGACACCTCCGCCAGCCATGGCCCCATTACAGAATCCAACGAAAAGTTGATATCCTTGTAGTCAGACGCTAATGGAAGATGCGGGGGTGCTGTTGTCGGGACATAGTCTGCTAGGCTATGCGATACGGACACCGTCCTATCAGGTGACGGAAGAAACTCGGATATACCCAGAGGTCCCGAGACGTTCAACAGCGCGCGAATGACTAGAAACGTGTCAGTATTCATTTTGAAAAATGAGGTTTATATATGCTTACTGCAATCCCCACACCGAAACTTCTCGAATGCGACGTGAACGAACATGCTACTGGCACTCCTGATGGGCTTCCCTGCCTTCTCGAAGCACTCACTCCATGTTATCTCACATTCCGGAGCCGCGCGGGCCGAGTAACCCTTAAAATGAGGATTCGTGGCCAGGCGAGGCGGCGATCCAGGTAAGTTTGGGGTAGTATACTGCAGTGGACATCCGTCTTGAGAAGAAAATTTGTACTGGCTCTGCATCCCGTTTTCCCGGCTTGACTGAACTGCCCCTTCTACACGATCTTGATCTAGGGTCTCCCGAATCGGTTGCTGAACTCTTATCCTGGTGTCATCCAAATTACCGCCTAGCTCCCCCCATGCTCGGCGCCCGTGCACGCCTGGTATCCATAGGTCTTCGTTCCCGTCACCGCCAGCGTTATCAGATGGCGTTCCGCTCCCACCGATACGACCTATTACCCAAGACCACAATAGCGCCTCTCGGGCCCGATCAATCAGGTAATTGTTGAACAAAAAACCCGGATGAACATCGTCTCCATCTTGAACCGGTTTGGGCGCTGACCTTTAATCAGCAGTGATTCTTCAATTTAATCTGTCAGGAACAGGTACACTTAGCGGTGGCGGTGGGACGTCCATTCATTCCGCGGAAGGGTCGGTGGGCGGTGGCCTCAAACTCCTTCGCCCACATTCCCGCAGCCATCTCGTGCATAATGGGAAGGCTGATCGACTTGTGTGCATGGACGATGTAAAGTCTTGGACGCGAGCCGAAACGCTTCGACAGCAAATGACTGCTATAATCTAGCGGACGCCATTCTCCATCGCCAGAAGCCTTGGAAGGATTATGCGGAGAGACGGCAATATCATACTGGAACCTCAGTACGGGACCGTAAAGTGGCGTATAGAAGTCCTCCGGGTACACCGGCCCCACGAAGAAGAAATCGTCATTCATGTATATGAAGTTCTCCGACACATTACAGAGGTGTCCCAATTGTGACTCGATTGCAAAACTGTTAAAGGTGGGACCAGCATATGCCTGGGGTGAGAAGAACTGGGAATGGTGGCGGATAACAAGTGAGACGTTGTGGTCGTTCCAATCCGATGCAGAGAGCCATTGGGGTATCTGGCCGTACCGCAGCTGAGATGAAAACTCAGACGAGGGCGCCTGCGTATCTGATGTGAGGAGATGGAAGTTACCAGCGCCATTGCGGAAGGCTGCAAGAGCGGAACGCATGGAGTGTCTGAGCTCATCATGATCCCTATGGTGACAAGGATTGGACAAGAGTATAGAATGGAAGACTGAACGAGACGCTTACCGGTAGAGTTTGGGTTTCGAGGTGGCGTAACTCAGCGCGTGCTCGGCTTCAGAAAGTGCTGCAACGTGCAAAGGGTCGCTTCCATTTACCCAGGACCAGACAATATCCATGGGTGCCAGTGCTGCGGTTGGCGTATTGTTACCGGTCGTTTCGGCTTCAGTACCAGGACAGATCTTTCCACGAAAGTATTCTTCAAGACAGCTGACTGGTATTGGAGTCACGGGAAGTAGACTGAAAGGCTTCCTGGAGGTATCCTCATGGAGGGTGAAGGCGTTGTAGGAATTTGAGTGCACCGACATTAGGTGTGGGTCTCGAGGCTGATTTGAAGGAGTGCATAAGGATGAAGGGGAATAATTCGTCTGCCACGTATCGATATCAGACAGTAGCGACGATTGAGGCACAAGATCCTCAGAGGGAGAGTCGGGATTATGTTGAAAGGGTGTCCAAGAGAATGTGGTGGGTTGGCTGCGGTTGTCCGGAAAGACATGCACGATGCAAAAACCGAGGACAGACAAAATGACGAGTCCTGAACACAAGATCACTCGCGAAAATCTGCGGGGGGACTTTGGAGATGGGAGCGCGGTCTGGGGGAGGAGGGAGGAGTCGTGTCCCAGGATAAGCTTCTTCAAATTACTTCGCAAAGCAGGTCCTGCTGCTGCGGGTATAGCGATGTCTTGCCCCTCGTCTAAAGACTGGCCCGATGAGTGTGGATAAGCTCCAAATGCCATGGTATGAACGGAGCAGAGAGTATTTCGACGTAGCCTTCAACAAGAGCAGGATGACATGGCTCCGGAGAAAAGCGGTCGTGTGAGCTGCGATGGTCGTGTGCCGGTCTCCCTAGATCTACACGCGCAGTTGATGATGAATATTAGCTCGGAGAAAATATCAACCAAGTTCGGTGAAACTGACAGTAGTGACCGTTCGCCCTTACAAGCATAAGTTTGTAACAGAGAGAGCATGTCACAGTAACCATCTATTTTGGTACACAGGAGATGAAACTTTTCGAGTCTTCAAGTGGTTCGTGGTGTGCAGTTTTTAGCCCGTTGCTGCGCATTCTCAAAGATAGAAATAGAACCGATCAAAACATCTATTTTAACCATGCCGATGACGGCATGACGTTTTTCATCTCCGGACACGGAGCGAGGCGTTGGAGCGGATTCTCCATTTGCTTTTACTTTCACAGTATCGCGGAAAATAAAGCAGATTTTGGTCTTCCCAATGTTTCCACCCCGCTTTCATGACTCTTTTATCCAAACAATATTTGTTGACTTGAGCATCTGACTGAATGATCAATAGACGGTTATAGTTGGAACACTGACAGCTATTCAATGGGTTGGTGCCTTTTGGCTATACTTAGCAAGCCGCCTTGTGGGCACTCGCGGCACTGCTTATACCTATATTTAGCATGATTGCATTTTGGTACCTGATGATATATTTATCACCGACCGGAGCTATCATCAACATAATCCAGTTGCAGGTCGAACGAAAATTACTCAGCATGTAAACGATACAACAGATACACATGTATAGTGCGACTACGAGCTTGTTCAACATCCAGCTGCGGAATCAATGAAACTACCTTAAGATTAATACTAATCTATCTTGTCCCCATCTCTTATCTGATTTTGATCATTCTTTAGCGATACAAGCATATTTGGATAGACGGCAGTGCCAGGATACATGAAGACCGCTCCCAACGTATTTAACACGTCGAACAGGCAGACGTCGTCCGGTCGAAATGTGCACCTTTGCTTGACAATAATCGGTGAATCTAGACTTTGTCTCCCTTCAGCGACAAGTTGTCCTTATCCATGGGATGGGGGGAGGGAAGCTACGTGGCATCGTGGCCGTCGTCGTAGCGATCCCATCTGCCAAAAAAGCATTATGAAAGCATTAAAGTCGGTCCAGCCAATTTGACGGTAGTCAGTGGAATATTATTACCGTCATCAAGCCCATGTGCGATCCTCAAGCCGTGACCGTTGAGCTCAGACGCCGATCATCGCCAATTCGCGGGAGCTGCCGCGTGACCACGACCACGTGACGTGATACCATCGGCCACAACTCGGGAAAGTTGACATTGTTTTTGCACAATGCATTTTGCTTTGTCTGTTGAAATTTATCTGAGACAGAAAGATGATAGTTAGATACCTTGCTCTTGGCCCCTACCTTCCTCTCTCTACCTTCCTCTCTTCAACAATCGACCGATGCCCCACAGGAAAGGTGTACAGTTCGGGAGCTTCACCACCTTTCCTATCCCGTGTCATGGTCTCGCAGATCCTAATAACGTTCCGAGATTCGTCCCTCGCCATCGCACGTGCTTTCCCACTCAATCTATACTACGAAAGGTTAAAGTAAAACTGCATGAAACTCCTGGTACGCGTCGGACTGCCCTATCTGCAGCAACGATTAATGACCGTGGTGCAGCGTTCGGATCATCGTTAGCGATCTATGCTCTATCGGATCCATACCCGCGCCCTGTTTCGACAGTGCCATCGATGTACCAGCCTTGGTCAGAGTCTCATCACCGACGCGCTTCCCACTCAAGAACGCGTCCGACACATCGACGCGCTGCGTTTTCCTTCGGAAAGCTCAAGTTGAACGACAATGGAGAGGCGTGGATCGATCCTCAGGGGGGGTGGCAACCCTCCCCGGGTCGATGGTCAGGGCCACGGAAACAAGACGCAAATGTCCCAGTGGGTACCCTCGACGACGAGTGGAAATGGGACCCGAGCGAGAAAAGGTGGTCCAATCCACGAGGGCAGTGGCACAATACCCGAAATGGCTGGCAGTGGCAGTGGTATCAAAACCATGAACCAACGACTCAGGCGACCCCGCAGCCCGCTCCTGCCGAGCCGTCTCCTCTTCCGACTATGGCGACAAGACTTTCACATCGAAAGAGAGCTTCGCTGGATCTAAAACCCTCCCATACATCTTCATCGGCTGAGTGCTCTAAAGTGACTCCACACAAGTCAAAATCCTCTTCGAAGGAGCGGCCCAAGAGTGACTCATTTGACCTCAGAAGACTTGCTGCCTCGCTTCCGCAAGATCTTAGTCTATATCACCTTCATGTGGACCTGACGACCGTGCAACCACTTCTCTGGTCCATGCTTGACGTCCCTTCGCAGAAAACTGTGTCTCTGCTCTCAAGTATCAGTTCCGGGGTCATCTCTAAGCTTAATGTGCCGGCATGCCCGGGCGCAACGGAAATCGTTGTACATTCTCACCCTAGGTTCTCCAAGATCCACTTCAAATACTCTCCCACGATACAGGGACTGCTTGAAGGGATACGTGGTTACTTTTATGCGAATATCAGTAAGAAGGCGATGAAAATGATGACTGTGGACGATCGGAACACCGTTTTCGCTGCCAAATCGAAGCGCATGTTCATGCGAGGCCCGGAAGAAATCGAGGACGACTTGAGAATAGATTTATTGGATGGGTTTGTGGTGTTCAATGGCATGAAAGTGCTGAGCCACGACAAGAACGGGAAGGTCGAAGTGGCATTGGAACTTCGAAGAGAGAAACGATGGGATTGGAATATAACTTGTAAGAGATGAGCTGGCACTATTCTCATATGACATTCAACGTATAACTGTATTCTTAGCATCGTAACGCTCCGTCATCTATTTAAGACCTAGACGATACCTTTATTGACTAATGACTCTTATGACTCAATTCAGGCTTTAGTTTTACAAGGAAGAGATAATATAGGCAATCGCTGGTGTAAAAAATAATGAAAAAGACTAGTATCTGAGCAGAGATCAGCGAATATATCTAACGCTCTCCAGGCCGTGCCTTTGAACATCCACACTGCGAGGGTTCTGATTCATCTTCTAAGCGAATCGTCGAGCGGATAGAGGAAATGATCAACTTTGAGGAAGAAGAGCGAATGTCGCAGATGGGAGACAATACCGTTCCAGTCTCCGATTGATGAACAGTTTCGACTCGGCGGAAAAGGTAGGTATCTTCAGATAGCTCCTGACTCTTGCTGGGAAAACCTGGAGACGCGCCAGCGAAGTCGTCTTGTTTATTAGATAGAGTGCCCAGATAGTGTGTGTCGGAGAAGGAGCTGTTACTTTGAGGAAGAGATAGGCGAGACGAAATGACTGAGGTTAGGCAGCATCGGAGGCGATGGGCGATGTGGTGCATATTTATCTCTTTTACGAGATGCTCAAGTCTTTCTTCAGGAGATGCGCCTTTCAACAAATCTTCATTAAGCGGGAAACAAGAATCGTCTGACGTTTGAGCTCTGTAGGATGTATTGGATGTCGGCAGCGACATGGTGCAGTGCTTTTAACAACATTGGAAGATATTTAGAGACAGAGAGAGCGAAGAAGGGACTTACAACAATAGTTTTGATAGTGTATTGTAGGGCGTTCAGTTGCCAGAGGATTGATGGCCGTGGTTCGAGTGAAGCTAGTAAGCTTCCTTATTTGGCTTACAAACGCAAGTGACGCATATTTTCCTCGTTCTTCATGTAGAATGACATAAGAACAAATAGAAAGGGTATTTCTATCCAATATCTCTACCATACTCCAGCCCCACTAGGTGCTTTCCTGGGAGGGCGATAAAGACAAGTACAACGATGCTGCCCGACCTTGCCTGTCCGGTTTTACATACTTGTCACACCATTCGTCTCTACTTGGCGCATTTGAACTACCTGGGGCGTTACATTACGGCCACCTGCTAGCATGCCTTCGCTACTCTATGACCATAATAAAATACATTACGTGGACCAGAGACCTGAGAGTTCATCAAGTGCAGTTCCATTATTCGAAGTTAATGCCATCAATGAACTGAGAAAAATACCCATGAGCATTCATAAGGAGAGCGATGGTCATCAGCTATACCTTTTCGCCCACGGTCATTCTGCCGTTCTTCCTCAATTCTGAAAATGCTGGGTGTACCTCCAAATCCGCCACCGCCACATATGATGAGCTCAGATCTGTGACGGTGTATTCATAACACTCTTTTATCAAGAGAACGCTGAACATTCGCAGCCTCGGGAAACCGCATAGTAATGTCTGTAGACGTTCCCATGCAGCAGAGTGCTCGCCGAGTTCATAGAGAAGGTAGTCTCCGTCAATAACTATAGTAACGTTTTCGAGTGTATTGTCGGCTATGCCAGCAAACATGTCATGCAGGACGGTCAGTAATTCGAGGACGGCGCCACGGAAGGGATAAACCTCAAGGCTTTGTAACCGGATAGCCGGAACAAGCGACAGAAGAGTATCTATTAGAAGAATTAGCTGTCGCTATCTGAAGAGGAGAATGGACATACTACGAGGGAGACCATCCAGAAGACATAGACTCTGCAGAGTGGACGTATTCAAGTCTATCAACTCAGCGAGAGAATGTATACCGTCCTCACTAAGACCGTCCACGAAAAGAATATCCAGATGGCGCAAGCCGTTGATACAGAGCAAGGAATCGTTTATGAGACTGGTGATCACCGTATGGCCCATATGAATAACTAGGCGTCGAAGAGGCGGCCGGACAGTCTGAAGGGCCCAAGGAATGTCAATGCTCTCTTCAAAAACAGCAGCCGGCCCGCTACCAATCAATGTTAGGTCCTCTAACATGGGCAAGCAACATATCAACTCCATGAGCTTTCCGACATGAGGAAAGACAACGTCACGGAGACTGAGCTTGGTCATGGTGTAACACCGTGATAGGATAGCGTCTGGCGCTATACCACAGAAGCACTTCGCGTCTATCGACAGTGACCTTAATTTGTGAAGGTGCCGGAGAACGGAGAATATGGGCCCTACGTTCGTGTTGACGTCCAAGAGCGAAGTTTTGGCGGGAATCCGAAACCGTAGGTTCCTCGCCAAGTGGGAGATCCGAGGGTTAGCGCTGACGAAGTCAATGAAATTTTCAATGGTGCGAGTTCCTCCAGGAACGGGTAAAAAGCTGAGAAACTTGTACACTGGGACGTAGGCCGGCTCAAGGATGATATCGAACCGGGCAAACAAAGCGTCTTGTGCAATGCGCGACCATGAGCGGCAAACTACTGCACAAGAGCTTAACGTTTCTGCATCACTGCTTATCTGAAGCTCGTGGAAAACGCTGACGATAATGTCTTCTGGCAACTGTCCCGGATTGAGGAGTGTCGTTTCTTGCATCCTCAGCAGTCTACGGTGCGAGCAGTAAGAGCATGGACTATCATAAGGAAAACCTCGTAGACGAACACTCAAAGCAGAATCATATCAGTTTGCTGTGATAGTTTTGTGTGACAGAAGTGAATTCGAAATGCCGCCACGTTAACGGGAGCACAGCCACCCGCAGTTCTCTCTTGTGATTCGCAAAACTAATGAGCATTACTCTTTCACTTCATTTAACGCTCTGACAACTACCTCTGCAGCCACATGAACGGCCAACCTATCGCTGTATGCGACGTTCTTCAACGCAGCCTGGAATTTGTTGCTATGCCATCTGAGGAGCTCGGCGCGGATTCGTCTCTTGAGCGATATCCAGTTTGTTGGGACAAGATATTTGAAAAAAGCCGTCACAGCTTCTGAGGTGATGGAGTCTGCAGATTGGGGGCGATACAGCGTCGGCCACGGAATGTCGTTTAAAAGAATGTTTGTTTTTGTCTTCCAAGCACCTCTGGGAGACCAGCCGTCCTCGTATGACGTGTAGTACTGTTGTTTGAGGCGTTCGCTTTCCTCCGCCTCTTTTCGCTGTCTTTCCCTCGATTCCTCCTCCCTTCTTTGTCGCTCTTCCTCGAAGACCTGTCGCGGCTGTCCTTGGGTCTGTCCTTGAGTCCGTCTCCTGGAATATTCCTCCCAATGACTCTGCTAAGACTTGTAGCTCTTCTTTTCCTCATAAAAATGACTGTAACAGTTATACCACCACTGCTGTCAGGCATATGCATCTTCGTCGTGTTTCTTTTCGTCCTCCTGCCGTTGCCGTTGTTGTTGATACCACTCTGATCGTTTTTGCTCTTCCTCAGCCCGTTTCCTGGCCTCTTCTTCTGAACGCTGCTGTTGGAAAAACCGCGCCTGTTCTTCTCTTTGTCGCCTTTCGTTCTCCTCAAACTCCCTCATGTGGTTCTTTATGTAGCGCTTCTCATTTGCAGTATAGTTGTTGATGAATGCCTCGTGTGCTCGTGTTCGCTCGAGGAGCTCTTGATGTGACCATTCTAGATGCGTTGAAACCTCCTCTTTGAACTTTCTATTGTGATAGTAAATCCTGCCTTTGAGTCTTCTGTCTTCCAAGTGCTCTTGATGCAGGTACTCCAAAGATTTTGTCTCGAAACCGCAGGCATAGGTGTTGCCACTGTGCATATTCTGCTGCCAATGTCTTTCTTGTGCTCGCTTGAGAGGCTCAAGCTTCTGCTCGATAATCTTCTCTTGTTCGGCGACATATTTCTCGATGTAGGCGTCGTGTTGGCGTTGGCGAGCGAGGAGCTCTTCCTGGGTCCAGAACGGGTACCACTTGATCTCGTCTTTGAACTTCTTGTTGCGATAGTACACCCTTTGCTTACTTCCCTTCTCCTCCTTGGTCCTGTGCAGTCAAGTACCTTCGAGTCCACTCAAATCGCCCTAATTGTCCTGAGGCAAATGTCAGACAAGCCGCTACAGGCCTGTGCAGGTCATGTGAAGGGACGAATGATGTAGTCAACTGTCAGGAACGTCTGAATCATCTCTTTACGATGTATCTCCACATCGCCCTCTATGATATCGGAATGACAGGCCCTCATTTCAACTAGTGGCAAGAGGTTCACCCGTTTGCTAAAGTCGTACCAGATCAACAATCCTAACCGGGATTCATTCTGGGAGCTAGCGCATACCATCGAACCCAATCTGGTTAGTACGGATAAATTCAACTGCTGTGTTCGTCTTTTCTCCATCGATCTCCCAATCTCTGACATGCATGCCTTCACGGAAGAACAAACGCAGAGCGAGGCGAGACGCCGCTGTTATCGACACATCTTCAACATGGCTGGACGTGCGCGCAATAGTGTATTCAGATACTATCTGAACTCGTTGAGTCGGGTTTCTTAAATATAACATTGGATACAGGCGACCTACAGAGCCGATTCTACCAGAGAGTGCTCGCCTTGGGGATGTTGGGTGAAAGTCCTGATTGGCCTGGGGATACCGTCGATGGAATACGAGTAGTTGATTATGATTTCACCATGACATGAGCAATCGGTTTGTGATACATGCTTGCTTTTATCTTCGGCAGCTGATTCCTCGCTCTCTTTAAATTCGAAGGGATGAATGCGGGAGATGGGGCCTATCAAATCTAAAATATACTCTCAGAAAAATCAGTCGAAAGTCTACCATGACTAGAGGTACATTAGAAGCTATCAACGGACAAGAATGCTAAATAGTAGATTGTGTTTACAATGCATCACCAATTTAACACCTTTACACCTCCGTGTTGAAATCAAATGGATATGTCTTCAGCAACAGTTGCGCCATTGCTCCTAGTGGAATTTTCAAAAGAACTAAATCCTTTCCGGCTTCCTTCGCGAGCGCCAAAGCAGTGTCCCACTCAGCAGGTACAGTTTCAGTAGTGTGGAACTCTTCGTCCGTGAGGACATACAATTTCATTGGAACTTGTGTGTAATCCGTGACAGTGAGCAAAACAACGAAACCGCCCCTGCCTCTCGGCTTTTCCGACTTCAGCTTTTGAATGAGTTGAGCGTTATCCTGGATGTCTTTTTCAATAATGGCATATGCGAAATGGCGTTCGCGCTTCGACATGGGGATGGGGAAACCATCTGTGAATGATCGTTAAAACATCGACCGGAAGTTATTCATAGAGAGCAAGAACTGACTTTGAAGATCATCTTGTATCATTCGACAACGATCGTTATGACCATCGCCCCAGTCCAGTTTCTGGCACTCTTGCGAGCAATAGTACTCGAAACAGCAGCCTTTGCAACGTCTGGGCGTCCGCATGGGGCCGTTATCCGGGTGCGGACACTGGATAGGATCTATGAGTGATGGGCCATTGGAAATTATAAAAGAGAGCTCACAGCGTAGTACGAGCACTTTGTCAGTTCACGCCCGGAAGCCATATAATCCTTGAGCATACCCCAACGTGTCTCCGTGGTCTCCTTTAGTGCGGTCCAAGCATCGCCAATCGGTCCTGCCTCAGAAATGCCAGGTTTTAAATCGGCCGTATATAAGACCTTGCACAGTTTTGCGAGTACGTTACGATAGAGTGTGTACGATGTCATCAAGTGCAGCAACGGAACAAGAATCGCCTCCTTATCATCGGCGTGCACCTTTGACTGTGCCCTTAAGAGTGCCGGTATCAAGTCAGTGTCCAGCCCTTCGATTATTCGATCAGAACCCTCCTGAAACGCTCGTAGCAAATAGATTAACGAGTATTTAAGCAGTCTGGAGTAACCGGTCAGTTCATTGGGAGAGCAGGTTTCCTCTTTCTTGGCTGCGATATCCGCAATCCGTCGACAGATCCACGATACAGAGTGGCATGAGATGAAAGCTCGGGTGAACGGACGAGAATACATCGCGCTGACAAATAGGAATATGATGCCCCCGTCGTAGTCCGCGTTAGGCTCCCGCTCTCTGGCAACAATGCGAGCGCAGAGTTCTTCTACAATAGGTTTCTGAACCCAATTAAAAGCGTTCGAAACCTCGTTCTGAACCCGATTAAAAGCGTTCGAAACCTTGCTACCGAGAGTGCGTTTCTGTAGGATGTACATCATGGCTACCCTGACAATAGTCTCAACTTGACCATATTCCGTATGAATGCTGTGTATCCACAAGACGGTCATGGAAAAAGTGAAACCTTTGGTATCTCGCATCTTTGCACAGTAATCAGGGTCGATGGCTAGGGTGCCGAGGAACTCCACGATTCGAACCGTAATTAAGGACACTGGGGACACAGAAATGGTGATATCGGTGTGGATGAAATAGTGGTGGAAAAAATCGACAGCCCAAAGATATATCTGGGGACAAGTGATCACTAGTCCCGCTGATTTGAAACGGTCGAGAGCTTGTGGCGATTGAAGAGCAACATTAAGCGCGTTAAAGTAAGATGCAATTCTGTCCAATGATTTGAAGACGTCTTTAGGAGATAACTTGTCTATCATCTCTGGTGGCGGCAAGTATTTCAGAAACACACGAACGACATGGACGAGGTGAGGGAGCATGGTGGAATTATCGCGGGCAAATTCTCCCAGCTGAACAAGAGCGTCGCCTGAGCCTCTGAGAGCCAACTCCTGCGAAATCGCGTTGAGCAAAAGGTACAGTTATGTGGTTGAACACTCACCTTCACCTTCAGTGCGTACATTGTAGAGAGACGTTTGTATTGACGGCTCATTCGGCTGAAAAACGCACGGCGGGCGCGCCCTTCACTGGCAGGAGCGTCGAACAAAGTAAGCTCAGAACAAGGGAAATGCCGAATTTGGCCAAGCCCATAGTAAAACAGTATTGGATTTAGTAACCATATCGATACCGGACAGCCATGCTGAGTGATGTAATAAGTAGATAGTCTCTGATTGAGAAAGTTAATCGTGTGGCTCTTATAACGTTGAAAAAAGCGGAATCACGACTCACCTTGAACGATCTCGGGTCCACTTGATGACCCAGCCGAGTAGATATCAATGGAATTCGAACCAACGCCACGCCTCTGATGCACCGCCTGCAGGAGTATTTATTCAAGCCATGAATTTGCTTCAAGAGCATGACACAGAACCATCAATCATGATGTTCGAATTCTCGCAGTCACTGATGTCGCATCCGTTCAGATAGTAAGCGCACCAGTCTTGTCGATACGAGGAACATGCTATGCCACAACCCTGCTGGAAAAAGGGCTGGATGATATGTAGGATTGTTGGGATTTTGCCGGAAAGTTCTAGAAAGGGCAATCCGGCATCATGCCGAGAGCTGATGAGTAAGCTCGAGAGAAAGAGAAAGTTGTAGTAAATTCTAGATATAAGCCTGGAGAGTATAAATACAAGCTCTGTAGGAGCTGTAGAATAAGAAGTTCCTTCTATCTGGCCTTACCAGCCAGGAGTCTACCCCGAGGATTTCCAACAAGGATGAAAGGAATTCGGCTGAAATCGAACATGAGTCCGGGCCGGATAACCGCACCTTTCTTCTCGCATTCTGGTTGCATTCTCGGTGCCGGTTTACCTGCATACGACTGTGGATCAAGATTTCGAACTGTGCTCAAGCCACTGCCTCTTTCTCCAATGATGCCAAAAAAGAAGAAATATGGCTGTGGCGTTAAATGCTTCGGCTCGTACGAACAGTACTTACAGTTCTTCGACAAGGCGCTGCTCTAGTCCCCGTATTCTACCATTGCACCATTGCAACAATGAACACATTCGACCCAGATCGAGCGGTGAGCCATGCCTCAGATCAAAATCGTGCTTGTTTTGACCGTCGACGGAAACTGTCTGAAGAGGTCGAGACCATATTCTACGCGCACCCAGGACAGTATGTCCGGGAAGTTGTCGTTGCCGGGGTGAGCGTGGGTACGAACGCACACGAAAGGCTTCTCAGAGCCTGGCTCGTGCTAAGCAAAGCTGGCGAGAAAGCGGGGGATCCAGCCGTGGTTGACGCCCTCAGACGGTGGACCGAAAGACATTTGGTAAAGTCAAAATGGCTACATGGAGGTATCGAAGTTGTTGGAGAGGTGAGAGCGACCATGTCTCATGGGCGAGGATAATCCTCATTTTGTGTTTAGTTGCCAAAGTCGTCCACTGGAAAGACGTTACGTCGCGTTTTGGTAGACGATTATGAACGGCGGGTGGGCGTGATGGTAAAAGGAAAACTTTGAATACTATTCTATTAGGTGAGAGGTTTTAGATAGAAGTAACATCTGTGGCTAACCATGGACAGTCGATACCTCGTTGCTGATAAAAATTCTTGCCATTCAAATCTTGGTCCTGTTCGTCTAATCGGTTCTCTTCTATTGATTCACAACGTACATATGTGTATCTATATTCCGACACCAACTACTTCAAGTTTACTTACTCACCTTCTTTATCTTTTTCATCAAGCAAAAATGACATCCCCATATTGACACAGGGTCTTGTGTTCGAAAGTGCCCAATGGGATCACCGTTTACCAACAGAGGATATGCGCGTGGCTCATCCTGCTTTGCCAAGTCTGATGGTTGTATACTAGGACGTTGTTGTCTTATCGAACATATTCCTATGTGACATTTCCGGAGGCTTTTTCATTTCTGGCCACTGGCTGTCCGGGCCTGTGTACTTTTTCAGATTCCTTAATGGGAATGCAAACTTGTCGACTGAACGGTGACCGGGTTCCCTTCGGGTCGTTCACCAAAGCGATTATACCGTTCAGAGGCACCCGAAATGGTACGTTAAGCATCACGTTCTCCCTTCCCCACTGACCTCTTCCTCTTAGACAAGTTCTCGGGCCTGAAAGTACTCATCTTTGGATTCGGAAAAGGTATGGAGGTTTAGGATATCTGGTTGCCATCAGACTTAGAAGACGCATATGAAGACTTATGACATCCCTTAGGGAAGAGATCGGGCATTTCGATGCCATCGATTAACGGTATCGCAGCGCCAGGTGGTAACGTCGAGATGTCAACAAAGTAATTCTCTGGGGGGGCTTTTGCGTCACCTATGATACGGAGGAGGATGGGTTTTCACCTGTGGAATGCTTTCGAAAGAGTTTGGGGTCAACTTGATGCACAAAGGACTGGTTCAAGGACTGAGGTACGAGCAGACAGGATTTATCGGGCCGATGAATCCCTTCTTTATCGATCTGAGCTCAGAGTAAGTATTTTTTTTTCCGAAGCGGTCCTAGTATGTCTCCCAAATCAAGCTTTCGATTCACGTGATCTGAAACGATCTCTGCGAGTATCTATAAAGCAGCTTGCCAGGCTACGCTGTCGTTTACCTCAGTCTGTTGCTACTAGCGCCTGCTGTGACTTGAGCAATGATCAGTCTCGATGTTATTGACGACGATACATTGGGAAACATACTTCAATATCTGCGCCCTTACTCCCCAACTTCCTCGTCACTCAGGATCTTCAGAGATCGTTTGGCACTGGCTCGCGCATCCGCTCGTTTTCGCGATTTATGCCTTCGTGTCGTCTACCGAAACTGATTATATTCTGGGATCCTTTTCGCAATGCACCCAAGTTTCCACCATCTTCACGTTGGAAATACATCCTGTGTGTAGCAACATCGTGTCCTGACGTGGCGTGCGCTCCCTGCACTTCAAAACAGTCAGATAAACTATCGCATTGTTGCGAGCCTTTTGGCCATATTCCGACGAGCTTTTATTTATTGAGCAGGACTGGATTAAGCCCACCTCCCAGGTGGCTGCTGCCCTTCCTTCGACGCGCTTGAAAACCTTCTGCCTTGAGGTCGCTGATATGTACGGTGTCTTCCGACGAGGTATATGGCATGGATTTGTCGAAGCCATACTGCTTTCTCCCTCGTTAGAATTTTTGGAGTTCGACCATGCTCCCTGGATCTCCGGTTCGGAAAAATTCCTTTCCATTAGCTTGCACCACACTGGCATTCGTCAATTCGTCTATTGTTCCCCTTTCTCAGATGACTCTCGGTTCCGTCCTGAATACGGTAGGAGGAGACTAGAGCAGCTCGATGTAGAGGTTCATAACCTTGGTATTTTGCTCGATGCTTTTCGAGAGACGTTCGAAGTGCTCGAATTGCCAGCTGAGCTAGCAAGGTACCTCCTACTAGAGCCGTTTCCCTCCTTACAAGAGCTTCTCTTCTGCCGCCTTGCATTCCCTCTGGTCCCGAGTTACGTCTGAATATCGAAAAAGCCGATACGGATCCGCGGAAGCAGCTCGATACCACAAATCCAGCTTCTGTTCCTCTGGATCAGCTGACTATCAGCATTCCCTCGCTCCAGCGCACATTCAGATTACGTCCAGGCCTCTCACCACCCGACTGGCTAGTTGCCTTGTGGAAATGGGATGACTATCGGATCTCTCGTTCCTGTGGGTCGGTAATTTCCGGATAGTATGCATAGTAGGACGGGAATTGCGATGCTTCCTCCATGAGTTGCAGATAGCAAAAAACTTGCATGCCGCTAGTAGGAAAACTACTATAGCAGATCACAGCATTTGCGATCCAATCTTGGCCTTATCGAATGCTTGAATCGTCGTCGGCGACTGGTAGCACGAACAATTTAGCGGTCAGATTTACGCAGGCATGATATATCAACCTTAAATGATTTTCGACGTTGTCTTTTATGCGGAAAACTATGAACTTCAAGTTTGACCATGGCTAATTGTTCAGTCTTCAGTCTTGACTCCTCTGCAAGCCGATACTAGTACTACGACACGGATGCAAGAGCTATAACACCGACAGGGCTAACAGCTTTCCACAGTTTGGGACCCTCTGATCGACGCAGTAGCAACGTAAATCAGATGTGTTTTAGCATCAATCACCGTGAATTATCATGCACGAAGAAAGTTGTTGTATATGTAAAATACTATCAGATCTTGCACAGAATGCTGTTCCTTAAGATGCACCCTCTGAAAATTGACCATGGCTGCCTGAATCTTGTCTGTGTCGATCTCGGAGCGAGCTGGATGGAGCAAAAAGGTAGCCGGCACGTAGCTGGGGGTTTCCCTGGATCCTAGAACGATTTCACGTCGAGCGAACGGGCACAGAGGTGAACGCCCTGCGAGATTTACAAGAATATGGATAAACAGACAGATAAATTACGAGCCATTTGAACGCATGAAATCCCAAATAAGGACATTTCTGGTCAGCAGGAAAGACGAGGACACGACGACGGCCCTACCGATACCGATGATTGGGCCTTCCGATTTTGCGGGAGAAAGGTGAACCATGCTAAGATGAGATATATTACAAAGATCGTCAATATTTATGAAGAACCGTAGCGATGCAGCGCCACAGGACAACGTGACGGTACAGAGGGATATATGTGTAACGAGTCGATGCCTCGAGACCTTTTTGCTTACCCTTATTTGCCTATTTGCCTATGAGCTTACTTAGTATTTGATTTACCACCGAACCCATATATAATGTAGCTAGTTCCTTTGTACCGGGTCGGACTTTCCCAATCAACAGTCTATAAAACCTGTCTATGATCGTGCTGAGTTCCTCATGTGAGTGGTGACCTTGGTGCCACTCTCACATATTTTTGATAGTACATTGACTGTATCTTGCTTTACTTCTTACTCTCTTAGCTGTGCTTATCCTCTTAATCCTAGACTCTTCATCATCTTCTGGAACCCTGAAGTCTGGTCAACCAAGGACAATCCAAATCCTGATGAAGCACCAACCAACAACCCCAAAAGTCACTTTGCCTCAGTGAAGGATGTCTCATTACAACTTTCAGAGTCAGCAAAGTTACAGTCCTCTTTCAGGAGTACCAGGTGAGTCTATTCATCTGAACCAAAGACTGATCCATCAGTAGTCCAAAACAGCACTGCAAGTGCTCTGGAAAGTGTTCTACTAGCTGCAAGCTGTAAGCCAGCTACTGGAGACACAGAGCTGGGGCATTCCAACTCCTCCTGTGTGATGGATGAGGATAAAAAATTTTCTGGCTCCTCAGAAGAGCCAGAGGGTGTCAGAATCTCAGGAGATAAATCATCCTATCAGGATGTAATTAGTGAATTTAATAATGATTCTGACACTTCTGAATATTCTGGTACACTTGTTAAGTCCATGCAACTGTCAGATGATAAGGAAACTCCTGTGGCCTCATGAATTAGGGGGCTGCACTGCACTCAGAGCTCAGATGATCTGGCTATCTGTAGTGTTCAATTTTCTAAACTACCAACTAAGAAGAGGCTTACCCAAAAACAGATACAGATTATCCAAGAGGTGGAACAAAACCTGACATGTGAACAAGTGAGATCCTGCAGAAACACAGGAGCAGCATAAGGACAAAAGCCAGGAACTACTCAGAAACCATGAGTCTCAAGCCAGTCTGAGTGCCACAGTTGCAAAAGAAAAGTTTGCTGATCATCATCAAGAAATTGGGATGCAGAATTGGATTATGAAGCTCAACAGAAGACACTGAAAACCTGGAACCAGATTCAAGCTATTAACAACAATGCAAATGACTGATTGAAAACTGACCTGGATGAATTCTAACCAGTCAAGCAGAAATCCCATAAGAAACATGTATTCAATGGCCAATTCAAACATAAAAAGAAGAATTGCAACCACTTTGAGATCCTTGATGTCAAAGAAACCTCAGATGAACCCAAGAATGATCATGAGCTCTTCATGATGACTAAGAAGACCAAGAAGTCCTCAAGTCAAAATCTAAGATAAGGGCTCTAAAGTCCATGAGATTGAACCACAGGCTACAACCACTGACAGACATATCAGAAGTATTCTCCATGGCCAGTCTTTGTGATCATCCATCAGCAAGCATGAGAGCAGATTTGGTTCAGCACATCTAGTTGATCAATTACCTTCTGACAGCTTTTTAGCAGATATTTTGAATTCAGGAGGCAAGAAGAACAAGAAGAACAAGAAGGACAAAAAGAAGAAAAACTCATCTGAATTCAAAAAGAGACTCAATAAGAAGAAGACAGAAAAGCACAATACCAAGCACTGAGTGAGCATGTCTAGTTCTGATTCTTTGGAGTCTCCTTCAACTGATGAGTCAAAGTCTGATTCTGACAGTGACTACTCAGGGTCCTCACCATTAGATGATAAGTCTTGAAGCTCAGATTCAAAATCCCTTGGCTTGAATAGTGATCCATTGGAGGAACTTTCTAGCTTAGATGAGGGATCAGAATATAGCTGGCATAAGCAAAAACACAGACATCATAGGCATGGCTGTAAGGGATGTAAGCACTATCTGAAATGACTGATATGACCAATACTCCTCATGCCATATGATGGCACTGCCAATGGAGAGAAATTCCACTTATTTATGATGAAATTAACTCAATTCTGTAAAGAGAGATGGGTTCCAGCAGATAAACAAGTATTTCTTGCATTGCAATATCTAAAGAGAAAAGCATTATCCTTCTTCATCCAGAAGGTATCCAAAAACTATACAAACTGAACCTTGTTAGAATTCCTACATGCTGTTTTCAACTCATGTTTCTCTTTGAATTGTCATAGTCAGTAGCAAGATAAAATCAAAAAATGCTATCAAAATGAATGCACTGTATCTGAGTATGTATATGAGTTAGAGATCTTGTATAGCCTAGTGGGAGTTACTAACAAGTGGAAATGTGTGATTAAGCTGTGGAATGGATTCTACAAGAATATACAGCATGAACTCCATTAAACCAAGCTCAACAAGAAGGTACACAGCTGGCATTGCATTATCAAAGAAGCAGAGCTTGTTGAAATACAGTTGACTATCTCACCATGCATACAGTCAGGAGACACCAAAACCATATGCATTTATAGATTTATGCAGAACTAAAATAGCATGTGATATGATATGTGACTTATATGATTATATTGTCATTGCCTCAAAATGCTGTCAGTGGCTTTTAGATCAGCTTTCCATGCATCTTCTTGAATAATGCTCCTCTCAGCTTTCTCAGCTGTGGTACTAATCCACTCTGGTCATCTTGTGAAACACAAAATACCTCCAGCTTTCAAATAAGCTCAAATTCTTCTCTTGTAGTTATCAAGGTCTGTTTTTTCTCACTCTCCTCTTTCTTCTTATCATCATCAATGACAGTTATTTCTCCATTTTCTACTGCAATATCATGCTTGATAGCAGCAACAATCTTCTCATCTGTTGGCATCACCTTAAGATCTTCAGTATACTCTTCTGCAATAGGGTTAACTATCTCTTCAATAGTTGGAATGAGACCAAACATGCAATTTTGTTGTTTCAATTCAACAAGGTGGTCTTTCAATATTATCTCTGCTGTCTGGAGCTGTTGAATGGGGGTAATTTGGGTGGGAGGTGTGTTTATTTTTGACTGTGATGAAAGAGCCAACTGATTGACTGCCTCTAGTGCTTTGTTAACATTGTTCTCTGCATTCATAATAGCCATAAGAGCAGAACACCAGTTAGCATCAGCATATTGGTTTTCAAGCAGATCCTGCAATGTCTGTTTGATCCCTAGAAGCATGTATTTGTCTGTTAAGGCAAAGTCACAAACAAGGTTTTATACAGACTTGAGAAGTGAGGTGTTTTGAAAATCATTAGATGGTGTGGTGGACTGTGACTTGGATGCATTGTCAGGCATTATACCAGTGTGTTTCTAGCAGTTTGCTATTATTTTACTGCTGATATTTGCCCAAGCATTATAAGCAATAGTTATAGCTTCAAGGAGATCAAGCTTAAAGATCTCAGACTCTTCAAGATCATTGAGATCAAGTGCACAGATACATATGACATTCTGATAATGTGCCTTGAAGCAGCAAATAATACCAGCATCTAGCAGCTGAACATATAGAGTCATGTTGGGCTCAAAGAACTCCAGCTTTATGTTATGGAGTGTATAAGCAATGGAATGCTCTCAAAAGTTGTCCAAGGTCAGCAGAATCTGCTGCATCTCTCTCTTTATTTTTAAATCAAACATCTTCATTACTCTGTAAATATTTTGCTCATCATCCAGGTCTTCTTGTTATTCTGATAATAGAATCCCATTGCTATTGGACTCTTTTTCTTGAAACACCATGATTGCTTTGGCTTTCTAATGAAAACAACTGGCATCTGCTCACTCTCATCTGTATTCACAGCAAAACACATAGTGATGTAGAACTTATCCTGTTTCTGTCCATTCATAGAATCAGATGCCAAGGTATGATCTGGAATAGCAAAGATGATAAGACCAGATTTATC